GAACTTTCCTATGTACACCTTTTCCTTGTTCAGCATGCAGTCCACCTTCTCAACAGTGGGCCATTTCTTCTATTTTAAAATGTTTTTGATGCCTGATTTTCTGATACTGTGGTCCGTTTGGCACCAGATTATCCAGAACAGTTTGTTATTTAGCCGATGAAAGTTCTTCCAGGGCTCGTTCTACGTTCTGATGACTGCTGAAGTTCAAGTAACTGTAACAAAAGGATTGTTGTGTTCTTGCATCGCGACAAATCTAGACGGAGAGAATCTAGAAATAATTAAATTTCAACCCTTTATCGGTTTAAGGCTTCTGTGCTGTGCTCGTTTATTCCAATCTGGCAACTCTTTACGTTGTCGTACCATCTCGCAATCAGTATTCATCTGTTCCTCTATCTATCTATGTTTTGAGAAATTCTATTTCAACACGGTAGCTCTAACGATAACTTAAGTAGATTTTGTTCTTTGTCCAAACCATTTCTATTTTATGTACCTTATTCAAATGCCTGTCATTATCCTGTCTAAAAATCATAAAAGAGTTGACACCCCAAGATCACAAAAAAAGTGCAAGTGACAGTATTGCCATATTATTGCCATATATATGGCTGTTCGGTGTAAGTGACTACGTCTCGGATAACGTTTTCCAAAAACACATTCCATTTTCCTTATTGCACCGAGAAGCAGATTTATTAAAAGAAGCGCCCTCGTTTAATTGTTTTACTATATATTGGTGGTAACCATTATGATTTATATGAGACTGCTGTCTGTCCTCTACTTGGTACCATGGTGCGGCTGCTGCTGTATAGAATTTGAGTTTTAAAAATGAGTTTCTTACTTGGGCTTTCTACTTTTTTAATTTCGATTTTATTTTCGTTACGCCTGGCTTAAATGATTTTGAAACAGCTCAGAAATTAGTTTCTTGTGGACTTGGTACATATTAACCAAGTTACCATCATTGTAGTATTTTGGACTTTGGAATAATTCTGTTTTTTTTTTTTTTTTTTATTGAATCGGCTGTTACAAGGTGGAAACTCATTATCTAGTAAAAGATTTTTTTAAAGTAAATTAATATACTTATTTATTTCCACTAAATTAGTGGAAATAAATAAGTATATTAATTTACTTTATTTACGAATGACATATAATGCAAGTATTATATTTGTGATTTTGGCAGCATAATGCCATATATTATTCCCGCAGGCATTAATGGTCATTAATCCGGCTTGCACACCAATCACAAAATTTCTCAAATTAAATAAGTAGTACTACCATGGAAACAATATACCTGAACAAACTCAAAAGTGTCAGTGTCAAACGCGTAGTGCTTGTGTATTTGTATTAAGACGATGAAAAACGAGCGTTTTCAAAAAGAAAATTTCAAATAAATTAATTTGTCGTAAATAAAGTAGAGTATACTACTCGCAATAATGGCTATTATTCCCTCGGAATGTTACTCCCTCGCCGCTAACGCGGCTCAGTTCGTAAATATTCCTCGGGATTAATAGCTATCATTATCGACTCGTGGTATAATCTACTATCAAAAACATCTTTTACTAGATAACTCTATGTTCTTATAATTCATTTAAAACATATAAACAAATAATTGTTTCAGACCCAGTTTTCGAAATTTGGTGAAAAATTGTAATTAGTTGTGAAACTGCTAGTCCTTTGATATCGAATCGAATACAATTTAATACAGGTATTCCTTTTTTTGCAAACTGGTTTGAAACTGCTAGTCTCTAAAATGCAACAGCTCAAAATTTAAGTTTAGTGAATTTGTTCTTAGGTTTTTTTTTTCCTATTGTGATATGAATAAGGAAATCTTTTTCAGTTCAACTTGCTTGAGTAAAATAAAAATCTTTCAATCTAATCAAAATATGATTTAATATTGGGTGGTGTGAATAAAAACGAAGTACTTGCTACTACTACAAGTATTAGTATATTCTACGTAGTATTTACTTCAAAACGAAGTAGATACTACATTTCGAAACTACCGGAAATTAGTAAATGCTTCTTTGTGAAGTAAATACTGCAAAGAATATACAAATACTTGTAGCAGTAGCACGTACTTCGTTTTTTTTTTTTTTTTATTAAATTACAATTTTCATATAATCTAAGGCAAAAGTTAAGCTATGTACTTTGTTATTCGCTCCTAAACAGCTAAACGCTGGTAACGGAGCAAGATATAATTTGATTCAGACTACACAATATTCAGACTAATAAAACCTTAAAATTACCAAAGTTATACAGTAAAAAAAAAACACTTACCTATGTAAATAAAAACATTCGCAACAATTACATTTATTTGTACGTTTATGTTGGCACCAAACTAACCTAATTTAGAGTTTTTTTTTTATTTTTATTTTTTTTTCAATTTATTTATTTATTATTTTTTTTTTTTTCGAAATACATTTTTGTGTTTAAAAACTCTTTGAGTCTGCTCAAAAATATTTCAAATGTTGAAGCTTCTCTGACATGAATTGGTACCTGGTTATTCGAAAAATTTCTATTTATTTTATTCATACCACCCATTGTCTACAAAGCAGTCAGATGATAATAGAATAATATATGTAAATTAAATGTCCAAATTAAAATACAATAATTAAAAAATATGTACCAAATGAAATAATAAAATGATAATACCAGGCAAAAATAATAATAAATTGAGTTTGTGAGAAATTGTATTTTTAAAAATGACGATGATTATCTGAGAGGCGTGGCTTCTTGGAAATTGGTTGTTGACGAATTCAACCATAAAAAGCCTCCTAGGTACAGCCTAAATTTTTTTATTGGTGCCTAAAATGTTGGGCCATACAGAATACCGAAATTCTATTGTGGATGTGCTAGCTTCATGGACTTGCTTTAGGCTCGACATAACGACCAATGTTCATTCTTCATACCAAGGTTTTATCTCTTATTTTCAAATGTATCTAGATAATGACCTAGTTACTAGAGAATATTTTAAATAGGAAGGGTGCTTCAAGAGTGGGCACTATTGGAAATCTACGAACAGGGTGTCTCAAATTCGATGGTGACCATTGAGATATCGGAAACTATTAGAGATACGAGGTTGGTTAAATTATGGCAAAGTTGCTCAATTTTTTGACCAATTAAATGGCGTTTTGAAATTTGAAAAATTCCTAATACTTCCGAAGATATTCGGAAAAAAACGACATTTTGCAAAATCATTTTTATTTTTTCCTGAATCTATTTGAAAAGCAATTTTAAAATAAATGTCACTTCATTGCTGTCACTTCTTCCCCTTTACAAGATGTTGCTACCAAATTTCAGATTGGACGTTTCGTCTTTGGGCGGCCATCATCAACTTTATTTTTTCTAAATATGGGCTCTTCTTTTTTATTCCAGATTTTAAGAGCTTTTGATGTCCTAAAACCTATGACGTATCGTATTTATTCGAAAAATTTATATTATTGGCACTTTCCATAAGAATTAATGTGTTAGAGAGAAACAGAGAAGAGAATTTTGGTAGGAAATTACTAAGATGTCATTTTCGAATAAATACGATACTTCATAGGTTTTGAGACACCAGAAGCTCTTAAAATCTGGAATAAAAAAATCAAGCGTCGTATTTGAAAAAATAAAGTTGATGATAGTCGCCCAAAGACGAAACGTCGAGTCTGAAATGTTTTAGCAACATCTTGTAAAGAGGAAAAAGTGACAATGATGAAGTGACATTTATTTTAAAATTGCTCTTCAAATAGACTCAGGAAAAAACAAAAATGATTTTGCAAAATTTCGGTTTTTCCCGAATATCTTCGGAAGTATTCGGAATTTTTCAAATTTCAAAACAACATTTTATTAGTCATTAAATTGCGCATCTTGCCATAATTTAACCGACTTCGTATCTCTTATAGTTTCAGATATCTCAATGGTCACCCTCGAATTTGGGACACCCTGTACAGACCCACGCTTTTAATATCGCTAAAGATTTCGTAATTCAGTTTCTGAAAGACTTCGGTGCTGAACAAATTCCAAATGGCAATCTACAAAAGGCATATCTGCCGAAAGGTGTCCCGAAATAAAATAGTACGGAAAAAAAACGAGTCATGGGAAAGAAACTGTACGCATATTAATACTTATCTGGGAGGTAAAAGAAACACAGAAAGTTGGAGATTACTAAAAAATATGAGGAAAACACAAACCAAGGATATTATCAATAGTAATATAACTAGTGCAATGGAAATTATTGATAATTTTTGGGAAATTTGCCCGAATGCCTTTTTCAGTTAAAAACGCATGAGTGCAAATTTGTCGAAAATTATAAATATATTTCCATTGCACGAGTTGTATTTAATGAGAGAATTTCATAAATCAAAAATTTAAATTTTTTGTCAAAAAATGTCAAAACACCAGTTTTTGCACCAGTTAGTATGCAATTATCTGCGCCTAATTGCAATCTGATTGGTTCAAATCAACAATCAAAACATGTCAGTTCATTGTTGGAATACCAGTTTTGACAGATGTATGAAATTCTCAATACAATAACACCCCAGCAATGGGAAGAGTACTTTGAAGAATTACTGACAGAGCAGCGGGTAGAGTTTAAAGAAGAAAAGGAACAGATACGAAACATATAAACTGCAGGATCACCAAACTTGCCTATGAAAAATTTTGGCCCAGAACATTTATGATGAGAGATTCTACTACTTAATTTCCAAGTTTGGTATAATTTCTAACAGTACTCGCACACGATTCAGATGGCACAATCAGAGGCTTTACTTTCATAGCTTTCAAGAATATCAAGCCTGCCAAAAAAACTGAACTACTAAAAAATATTGACTCCGCATAAGTGCCAAAGGGACCCCAGTCTCAGAAAATCAGGTATTAAAAACGTTTACATCAAAAACTTGGCCACAGACATCGAGAACAAAGCGATGAACGACACTTTTCTGGTCTTCGGGAATATTGTGCGCTGTAAAGTGGCCCTGGACGACGATGGCCATTCCAAAGGTTTCGGATTCGTGCATTTTTAATCCGAAGAAATGGCCAATAAAGCCATGAACGTCATGCTGTTGAACAGGAAAATGGTGTACATAGGAGAGTTCCTGCCTCGTAACGAACCTCAAAACAAGCTCCATGAAAGACCCAGTCTTTCCTCTAACTTATTTGCGAAAAACTTGGGCCAAAACATAACTTCTGAGAAATTTAACCACTTATTTTCCAAGTTTGGTGTAATTTCTAGTAGTGTACTCGCCCGCCATTCAGATGACACAATCAAAAGGCTCTGGTTTCGTAGCTTTCGAAGATCTCAAGTGTGCCGAAAAGCTGCACTAGTAAGAAATATTGACTCTATTTTATAAGCCTGTACTGAGGTAATTTTTTGGGAAATTAATGGTACGAAGCGAGGACAATTCACGTTGGACGTACCCACAAAAAGGCAGAGCGAATACAGAAATTGCGTACCTATAAAGTATGTACGAACAACAAAAAAGTGGAATTTGGATGAATCGTTTACAGATGAAAAACTCCCACTGTTTCGGCGTAGCTTCCTTTCCTCATAACAAACGGTGGATAGTTTTCCAGAATTTGTTTTCCAATCTTCTGCTTTGTTTTTATTTCACTATGTGGTATCCTTGATTTTTATTTTTTCTTCCTCTCCTCTCGGACAACGAATCGATGTACGAAACGTTTCCGGTCTTGGCCAATGATTACTGATTTTTGTATTTCGAAACCGAAGAAATTGCCAACAGGGTTATTATGAGCAGATCAACGGCATATTGAACAAGAAGAAAAAAATTCGACCGATGAAAAACTCAATGATTAAAAAAAATAAAAATAAAAAACTGAAGATCGACCTTTTGCAGACGACGTTTACATGCTCATGTCATTGGATTTTGAATCTGATGTGTACGAAGTGGAAAAAAGAAAAAAAAAAGGAAATCAATAGGCACGCGGAAAACATATTACAGTTAAATGGGCTGAAAAAGAGAAAAACAAGACTTTTGAATGGTCTCTGAAAGAGAGGACAGAATTTAAAACTGTTTGAAGAGGCTGAAAAGGTTAAAAAATAACATGATGATAAGGCTTGGGGGAAGAAAATAAAAATAATGAAGGAAATAGAAGATTTTGAGGGCAACTTAATTCATGCCTCATGATATGAAGACTCGCAGTAGAGATGCAAACGTAAGTGAAGCAAAGTGCACTCAGATTGACAGTATCGAAACAGTAGACGAAAGGTTGCCCACTGGTACTTTATCAAAGAATATTGCAGTAGTCTTCACTGACAAATATTGCAAGGATGTACCTTTAAGAACCGGTTAAGAAAAGAATTGCCAATATTATTACATATGTGATGTGTGTGTTGCAGGTATCAGTTGCAATGTGACCTAAATTGAGCTTTTCTTTTGTACCCCTCCTACTGCTGCTAAATGCATCAGGTTTCCTGATCAAAGCAGTCCCTCTAGTCCTAATTCCTTCAGGAATCTCAGGACACTCATAGATTAGTATTATTTACTAACCTTATGTCACGCCGTCTTTTGTTTGGACTTTTTGGCCACAAAGCGGTAGTGGTGCATTTTCCCTGGGTCATCAAGGCCCTGCCTGAAAGATCACAAATGAGTAGAATATAGTTTGAAAAATTTTTAGAGTGAAAAGTGTTGGTAGGTGCAATAATCACTTAATAAAATACCCGTCAATCTCTTGACCTCCACGTGTATGTTTATTTCCTTCCAACATTATTGCTGCTTGCTTTTTCTTTGCAAGTAGAGAAAAATTACTTTTATTAGAGTTAAATGCCCGCCAGAGTTTGAAGGTCATGATGATGAACTAATATAGTAAAACTGCAATTTTGGCGTTCCATTGTCTGAATTTATTTTCAAGAAATAATAAAAAAAAGGTTTAAAATGCAGTTTTACTTGGGATTTGATGTGAAATCCCAAATCAAGTTATGGTCACTTTAGCAGTTTACCTCTTGTCCTGCTCTGCTAGACCAGTTGACTATTCAGTTCCTTGGTATCCGTCCAATTATATTCTGCAATTCCTAAAAATTATATACATATTGCAATAATAACTTATTATTTTATATTTAACTTTTTTATATATTTTTTTTACGAGTTTATATAAAAATATTCTAGCTTTCATATGTTATGTATTGATGACTGATTTGATAATTTATAATCATCAACATATTTTTAATTAAACGTATAATGCTGGAATTCCTGGGTTTTATTGAATTTAGGTTATAAAGACCAGTAAGTAACCAGCTGCGTTGTGAGCAGTATCTATCAGTATTTTTGCTTAATTAAAGTTGTAACCGAAAGCAAATCGGTCAAATTGAATTAATGTTTGTTTCACGAGGGTTTGTACTTTTGACATCATTTGCCTTCCTTTTTTTAACAAATAAAATTTGACAAACCAATTGATTTTATTCAGTTAAATTTTATTTGTTAAAAGAGGAAGGCAAATACGTCAAAAGTACAAACCCTCGTGAAACAAATAGTAGTTACGAGTGTTACGACCCACTCATGTCGCAGCTTAACAGCATGTATTTTCTGTTTATTTTCAAGTAAAGAGATGGTTAGGGAATTGAATCTCCAAAGAGTGGGAGAGGGGTGTTTAAAAACCATATTGTGGCCAAAAACAACTAAACATCCCAACTTCCTGCATTTGAAGCAACCTGTACGAAAGGTTGTGGGTGGATATCGATGATTAAGACTTGACTTGACTCCTCGCCAGTTTGCGGCAACTGCCATGGACAATCTTGCTTGAATACTGAAAGAAATGGAATATTCGTTGATCAGCAAAACATTGTACACGTTCAACCAAATCAGAATATAATAGGTCTTTGTATTTAGTGGTATTCTATATTGTTCCAGATAGTTCAAATGATATTCTTGGAACCTTTTATGGAAAAATAGTAAGATGATGTTATTCCGAGTTGATTGTCTTCGGTGACCTGAACATACCGGGGTACATCAGTGAACTATTATGCGATACGCAATGATATGTCCAATAGTTTCAGAGCGTTTTTGGCTTTTAATAGCTTGAGCCAATGCAATCAAATTTGAAATGAAAATTATTTTATTTTGGACGTTGTTGCTTCTATGTTTGAGCTGTGATACACGATAAGAGCAACGATACCAATGTATAGTATCATTAGTATCGTTGCTGTTATCGTTTATCACAGCTCCAAAATAAACACGGCCTAAGACATACTGCTTTAAAGTTGTGTAAGCTCTTGCCTACAACTAAGTTTAACTTCAAAAAAGCAAATTTCTTGATCATGTATAATCTTTTCCAGTCTCAAGATTCGAAACTTCTAGACCATTCCTCGGAAAGAACTTGGCTTTGAACAACTTTGTACAATGTCTCACATTAGGTTTACTAGGGCTAAATTCTTACTTTTAAAGCAAAAGTACAGATACCTTTGAACTAAAGTCAAAGAAGCACATGCTGCATATTTAAAGGATATTGAAATGTGTCCTAAATCCTCGCTTAAATCTAATCCCAAAAACGACTGGACTTTTGTTAATAATTTAAAAGATAGTCCAGATGTCCTTATTTCGTGTTTGAGTGATATAAAAATAGTAGTTAGAAAGTTGAAGGGAAATAAGTCAATAGGGCCTGACCCTGATAGAGTTCCATCATAAATGTATGTATGAGTTGCTTTGAATCACATATTTATCCTCTACAAATGCTGTTCAATTTAAGTCTCTCGTCGGCGTTCCCAGATAGGTGGAAATGCAGTGAGGTGATTCCTGTTCATAAGGGTGGATCAAGACAAGACATAAAGAACTATAGGCCGATAACCATTGTCTGTGCAATTTCAAAAATTTATGAAATGATTATCTTTGACATGCTTTTTTCTGAGGTTCATGTTGTGACTGTGTATATGTCGAGGTATATGTATGTCGGGTATACACAGATCTGGAAAAGGCTATTGATAAACTGATGATGAACTTTTTCCGGGCTTGTGGGGCGTGGTCTGGGGTTAGTGGTTATCCCTGGTCTTAGGGATAAGCCCGGAAAAAGTTCATCATCAGTCAGACTCCGGCCGTGAAAGCCTTCACTCAAGTATTGATAAAATTCGGCAAGATGTGATTGTGAGTAGCCTGGGGAACATGGATGTACCTCAACCTAATTTAGGAATAATGTCAAGTGTTGAAATGGAGGGCCGTAAATCACTTTTACGAGCACATCAGAAATTCCACAAGGGTCAAACATTCCAGAGTGCACTGTCTGATGTTGTTGCGTAGCATTTTCTTTTGGAAGTACTTTTGATTTAAACTTAGACAAATTTGTATGCATGTCATTCACACGTAATAAAAATCCTGTCGTTCATGGTTACTCTATAATAAACTATAGGCGTTTTTGGACTAGTTTCAATACCTAGTGGAAAAATTGTACTCATCCTGAAATTGTATTTCTTTGTATGTTGTGATTGATTGATACATAGATAGATAGATTCTTTATTCGATCCTTGTTTACAATTACAAAATTAGTAAAAAACAATTTACCTAGAGGGTGTTGATCATGTCAAAATAAAAGTATTAAAGTTAAAACCTAAAAAAAAAAACATAAAGACAAAAAACAAATAAGTACCTATTTAACTTAAGTCAGCTCCTTCTGACCTCTTCCAGGGTCAGCGCAGGGAGTATCATGTTTTCCTAGGCACAAAAAAAATACAATACAAAATCTAGCCCAAATCTTTCACTTTTTGATCAGTAAAAAAATCCTTCAGACTTAACAAACTTTTGACCTCAAGAATATTTTTATTTTGCAGATAACTCTTGATGATAGCATACAGAGTGGGGGAGGCAAACATTCCATACTTTCAGAATGTTGTGTTAAACGGTTTTTAGGATGTATGCAAAGTGAGCAGTTTCAGTCAGTCCTAAGGTTGTCTTTGAATCTAGTAACATGACAATGATTAGACTTTAGTTTGTCAAAGATATCTGGATTTTCTGACTGATGTACTAACATTGGTTGTAGGGTTTTGATGTATGTTATCTGTATTTTTTGTATTATTAATATTATTAAAAAGTATCTGTAATTATCTCTGCTGTTGATGGCTGAATAAATCAAATATCACATAAGTTAAAATTCAATGCAAGATTTTGCTTATACAAAAAGATATTCTGTATCTTTCCCCAACAATTTTCATAGCTTCCTCTTTAGCCTTATATACTCTGGTCATAGGCCCGGTTTCTTAGTGGAGGGTCGAACTGTTGGTTAACTAATAATTTATCATTAGTTAACCGACAGCAAAACTAAATAACTCTCCACTGATAAACCAGTCTGTAGTCAAGGGTCTCTCAAAAAAAATAGCTTCAGGGCACAATATCCATTCTTTACAGTTGCTAAATTACTAAATTTCATCCATATACTTGTTCTTTGGGAACTACCGAGACTTAGGAGACCCAAAAATTAACTGAAAACCATAATTTGCTTCCATATGAAGTGACCTGTAGAAAAATCCATAAAAATTATTGATTTTCCAAATTAAAATAATAAAATGAAGCATACATATTTTTATTATAAAAATTAATAATCATGGATGGCTTGGTGAAATTAATTAATTTACAAATAAATATTAACCTTATAATCTATAGTCTATAAAAAATATCTCATCTACACAATTCGCACATAGTTTTTTTCTTTTCAAAAGACATTTTATACTGCAAATAAGATTTGAGAATTTCATCATACTCCTTACAAGACACTTCTGCATATTTCTCCTTTAAATCTTTCAGTTTTTGTATTTCCTTTGAACAAGATTGTTGTTGATCTCTCAGGTCTTTAATAATCTCCTCGTAAGCTTGCAATGATGTTCTTGTCTCCATAAAAACGTCAATTCTGTATTTGTTTTTAGCAAGTTGGGCCTTGAGGCTATTCACTCGACTTTTCAAATCACTTTCTTGATATTTCCCTTGTGTCAGTTCGGGAACAACTTTTAATCTTAAATTCATTAATTCTTCAAGCAATTCTAATACCTTTGTCTGTGATTTCATATAAGCTCCTTGTTCTATAGCTAATTTATTCCTATACTCTAATAACGAGGTATCTTTGAGGGTTAGTCCTATAGGAGACTCATTGCTGGAAGCAACACTCTTTGATAATGAATAATGTCTATTTGCACATTTACTCAGCAACTTGGACTTCAAGTAACTGCATAGTTTATCGCTTTCCAGATAGCTTAATGAAAGATTATTCAAGGGGACACCCAAAATACATTCACCTAGGCAATCTTCACCTAATCTTGTTTGAGACACTTGACCAGTTAATATGATTGCTTCAATCTTCTCACACAAATCTGGATCGAGATTATTGTCATCTTCAATGCATTCTTGTATGGTTTGCAAGATAATGGTGAACCGTCGGTACTTTGTGTAGTAGGCTTTCAGAAATTCAGAGTAGTCTTTCACCTCTTGTTCCAAAGCTTGATGTTCAATGTCCTGGCTGGGGCTGGTTCCTTGGGAAAGACTTTGGAAGATATCGGTAGGCGTTCGTGTATCACCTGCATCGGACATGCTTTTATTATTTTTATCATTTAGTAGTGAAACCTCCAAATTATATGAAATAAAGTATTTACTTTCATAAGTTTAAAGATTGGTTTAAAAGTGGTTTGTTATGTTTTGTTTTTGTTTAGTGACTTCAGGTTCTTATGACATTTGACATTTACTCTTGTGATAGAGCTTTAAATTTTTAAGAGTATCATGCTCCTGGAGTGTGACGCTCTTGAACTGTTCGAAATAAGCATCACTGGAACGCTCTCGTCTTAACCCCCATCATTTCGGACTTCAAGAGCATGGAACACCGAAATAAAGGTTGGTGCACGAGGGGGCAGGGGATAGCAGAAATGAGTGACTCAAATGGGTCACTGGAAAGCACCTAAGTTAGGAAGTTTTCATTTGTTTCTCTAGAGCTGCTCCGTGCAAATCTGGACTCCATTGACAATTAAATCAAAACCAGGCGAGCAACGTTGTACTCGTTCTCAAGCATCAGTCCACTTAACCCAGGAGTAGGAGTAGGTTCGTTTAGTTTTAAAGGAACAAAACAATTTTACCCGGTGCTGCTTCGGACTGTTTCCAGCTGTAAAAAGAATTCTGCTCAACGCTCAACCTAAATATTAGGCTCGTTCGTTGCGAGATTTCCGAAAAAAAAAAAAAAAAAAAAAAAATGAATTCAATGCAAACACGATCTTGGTACCTATTTTGTCAAGGAAAATACACACTTCTAGCTTATCCTCAGAAGGCCTGTGTAGATGAAATCTCATGCCTCCCACCACGTCAAAGCACCAGTGATGACGTGAAGCATGTCGTTTCTCGCCTTGGCAGTTGACGTAGGTGTTTGCACCCCAGGTTATGATTCCGCGGAATTTTGCTTTATGCATACTTGGTTTTACTACTTCGGTTAACATTATAAAACAACCCCTTTTTAGATCTCGTGTGCATCTTCCTCTTTGCCTATTATGTTGATAAAAATTGAACAATAATATTATTTTTCATCGATATGGTTTTGAATAATTATTCAAAACTATGTCAATCATCAACGGTAGTGATCCATTAAAATAAATTATTTTTCATCATTATCGTATATTCTAAAGTAAACTACGACCGCTGGTGCAAAAAGCTGACAGCGTAGTTGATGACGTCGTCAATGGAGCTACACAATATGGCCGCCATTCGCGATTCCCAAAAACGAGGCCGTTAAGCAATGCTGTGTAGTAGTGTGGTTTGTCCTTGTAAACACCCTACGTCAAGGCGAAAAACGACTCGTTACCTACGTCATCACTGGTGCTTTGGCATGGTGGGAGGCTTGAGATTTGAACTACACAGGCCCTATGAAAATAGACTATCCTGTAGTAGTAGTAGTAGTTGTAGTAGTATGTATTATCCTTGCAGGCAACCTACATATTCAACCTTGGATATCTCCCTGAAAAATCACAGAAAAAATATAAACGAATATGAAAAAATATTTAGCGGTTAGCGGATACGAACGGTGGATGCAAAGATAATACACACTAGTACTACAGGATAGCTTATGCTTATATCCGCATAAGAGAGGTCTGTGTAGATCAAATCTCAAGCCCGCCACCACGCCAAAGAACCAGTAATGACGTGAGCATGTTGTTTCTCGTTATGATTCCGCGGGCTTTTGCTTTCTGCATACTTGGTTTTAGTACAATCTAAGGGCCGGTTTCTCAATAGGGAGTCACCACCGGGTTAAGCATAACTCCGGGGTAAACATACTGGACACGCTTAGCCTGGAGTTAAAACCATCCCGGAGGTAACTCGCTATTGAGAAACTGGCCATTGAACAACGCTTTTTTTAGATTTCATTGCATCTTCCTCTTCGCCTATTTTGTTAATCAAAATTTAATAATATTTTTCATCATGAATGTATATTCTAAACTACGACCGCTGGCGCAAACAGCTGGCGACGTAGTTGATGACTTCGTCAATGGTGCTGCCCAATATGGCCGCGATTTCCAAAAATGAGGCCGATAAGGAATCCTGTGTAGTGCAATGTATTATCCTTGCGGCGGATGTATGTAAATAGCGAATTTTCATATTTCTCAATTTATTTTTTTTAGATACTTCTAGTGATCAAATATTACATAGTTTTCTTTTTTTCCATTTTAATTTATACGTTGTACGAAAATTTTTCTATTGAAATTCAAATCAAAAGCTTTGGCGCGGGAATGCGAAATTTTGTAAACAACAAACGCAGCAAACGAACTCCTGCTGACGCACTGCTATTTTTGTGTTATTCAAGAATCAAGTGTGTTAAAGTTTGCTTTTTGTGAAAATTGTGGCATTGGATGAAGAATAATGTAAAGGACTGCTTTCGTACATTTTATTTCACTTGCAAGTTCCTTATTGACAGGTTTGTTTACAGAATCGTGACGTCAAAAAAGGTGGCCATCATGGAAGCATTGTTTTGGCGGAAAATTTTTTATTTCAAATTTTGTGTTATTTTTTGTGTAACAAGGGCGGTATCAGTTAAATAAAAACTGGGGATATACATATTATGCAAAATAAACTATGGTGGCTGTTTAATCTCGATGGTTTTTACGTCACTATAGAGCGTTTTAACTTTAACTACCTACTGCCTTTATTTGTTTTAAGTTAATATATAGTTAATAGTAGATTTTTGTTGCCTAGTTTCATTTTTTCACGTGTATTTATGTATTTATTTTCTACTTAACTATTATATAGATCCATAATACCTAGGAAACGAAATACTTCAACATACCTATAATAACCTGATCATAACGCCCGCCTATTATACTATGAGGTGTTTTTGTTGTTGTAGTTTTATCAATTTGCACTTTACCCTAGGCAACCACTAAATGTCTGAGCGAAAATAATTTTCGGTCTAACCAGGATTCGAACCCAGTCTACCATCAACGTTTCCCATGTAGTTCAGCGCGTTAACCCACACGACCACTACCGTTGCCTTGCCTTATGAGATATTTCTAGATATATTAATTTATTTCGTTTATAGGTACAGGTCACAGGTACAGGTACATGTCAAAATACAAAACAATATTCTGTCACACAAGTTTAACTGATTTTGTTAATAATAAATTGATGAAAGAACATTGTGTTGAATAGAAAATAAAGCATTGTATGTACCACGGGGATTTTAAGATTATAATGCCCTTCAGGCGAAATATATCCCTCGGGCCAGAGACCCACGGGCTAGTTTCGCCTTCGGGCATTATAATCTACATAATCCCCTTGGTACATAAATAGCTATTATTTTCTACTTAACTATTATAGATCCATAATACCTAGGAAACGAAATACGTTAACATACTTATAACAACATGAGGGCATTATAAGCTCAGCTGGCGTTATAATCCATAAAGCCCGCTTATAATACCGAGAGGTGTTTTTGTTGTTGTTTTATTGATTTGCACTTCACCCTAGGCAGCAACTAAATGTCCAACCGAAAATAATTTTCGGTCTGGCCAGGATTCGAGCCCGGTCTACCATTAACGTTGCCCATGTAGTTGAGTGCGTTAACCCAGTGGTTTACCCGCATGACCACCTTTGCCTTGCCTTATGAGCATGTTTATAGGTATAGTATCCGCTAAAGATATTCGAGATTCGTACAAAAAATCATGTTTATATTATCAGCAGGCCTGCATTTAGTCAGGGAGCACGTATCAGGAGCCGCTGAGTACAAGATTAAATTGGTTTAAAATTATTCGGTTTAAATTGTTGTAAATAATATTTAAAATTATGTTTCAATTTTCTCAAAAGATCTTTCAAAGATTTAATGCAAGAAATTAAGTACTTAATCGAATCCAGAACATAGCTCTTGGACTATATCTATTCTTAACCCTTATCTGTAGAGTTTTTGCTGCGGTTTTTTTTTTATCGGGGCATCGCCGACAAAGAAATTATTTTTTATAGGAATCTCAAATATCTGTGGCGGCGACTATACCGGATGTCCCACCGAAAACTGTCAATGCCCTATATCTTGAAAACGGTAATCGATAAAAAAAAATGAAAAACCCGTTTGGAGGGTTGGAAGGGGGAACCAAAACAAAGTACTTTTCAGGTCTCCCTGAATCACCCCTCCGGCACAGATTACTTACATACAGATGCGAAAGAGCGGCGAATTCGTGGTTCAAGATTAATTTGATAGACATAGGCTGGCCGCACCAATGCCACATCAATGTATTTTGAACATATTTATTATATAAATGCGGAAGCTCAATAATATAATATTATTTCTTTAATTGGTTCACAAACAGCAAAAAAATATTTTTTTCTACCCGCAAAAATATGTAAACACACAGGCTGGAAAATGTTCAGGCACTCGACACACAGGCTGGAAAATGTTCAGGCACTCGGCCACGTTAATTGTCCTGACGCGGGCGATCTTCATCTATGCGTGGGGCCGCTGGCGGCCCGGCTTCGTCACAGAATATCGTCGACAGCAAGTATACGTACTTACGCATCTGTATTAGGTGATCTGTGCCTCCGGCCGTAGCTACCCTAACCTCAAAATCTTAAATGGCACTATGGGTCATGTGATACCTTGTTTGAAAGGTTTTTTAATTCTCTAAACGAATCTGCAAAAAAAATTTATCTAGATACAAATTTGAATTGTCACAAAATTGCGCATGCTTCGAGTTAATAAGTTTGCTCTCTTGAGGAGGTGAACCCTGTCAGGTCCAGTGAGTGAAAAGGGGTTCAAAAAAATAAAATCTTGATGATTTCTTCAAAAATATTCATGCTGTTATTCAATTTGTATAAAATCGATTTCAAATCACATCTACCTACCCGATCAAATGAGGTTTTCATCAAAATGGGAGTCACATTCAAATCTGGATAATTTTTTTTTGCAGATCCATTAAGAGAATTGAAAGACCTTTCAAACAAGGTATCACGTGACCTATAGTGCCATTTAAGACTTTGAGGTTAGGGTAGCTACGGCCGGAGGGGTGTTTCAGGGAGACCTGAAAAGTACCTTATTTTGGTTCCCCCTTCCAACCCTCTAAACGGGTTTTTAATTTTTTTTTTATCGATTACCTTTTTCAAGATATAGGCCATTGACAGTTTTCGGTGGGACACCCGGTATATTAATTTATTTCGTTTCTAGGTACAGGGTACAGGTACATATCAAAATACAAAACAATATTCTGTCGTGATTCTGTCACACAAGTTTACCTGATTTTGTTTGATACTAAATTGATGAAAGAATATTGTGTTGAGTAGAAAATAAAGCATTGTATTGGATTTTTAGATTATAATTAATGCCCATCAGGCGAAACATATCCCTCGGCCTAGCTTCGCCTTCGGGCATTATAATCTACATAATCCCCTTGGTACATAAATAGCTATTCTTTGTGCTGAAAGTAGGTATCCATTTAAAATTATTAGGTTATTTTGATGCATATGATAACAGCTCAGCCTTTCTCCATGTTAAATTCGTTATATTCTCTCCAACTTTTCTTATTACCTTGTCGTTGCTTTGCCTGCCTGTTCGTCCAATAAAGTCTCCCAGCAATTTCATTTTCTTTGAAGTCCCTACTTTTGTGATTTGATCACAGAGTTGTCGATCCAATGATGCCCCTTTTATACTTACTGGTTCATCGCCGTTCACTTTACTCCAGTCCCCTCACAGTCTAAAAGTAAATTCGTACATCTCTGGACAATTTCAATATTTATATTATAAGAATTTTATGTAGGTATTAATTGGGTGAAATTATTTTGTATTTTAATTTCTATTCGATTTTAGAAAATGTGTGAGAAAACATTTTTCGAATATTGATGACCTCTGAGATAAACTTATTGTATAGCCATTATTAATTGAAAATTGCATCTTTATGGTGACTGCTCAAAATAAGAAAAATACCCCTTATAATAATATAAAATTATTTTCATATTTTTATGCCTAGTCCTAGTACACTATTCAAAGATACCGCTCGCCGGCAAAAAAAAAACTTAAAAAGTGCCGGCAATGCCGCTGGGCTTTATTCCATGCCGACACAGCATAGCCGCTCTTGTTGACAGTGTGAGATATCTCTTTAGAAGTGGACAAAAGCATAAAATTACGCAGAGAATTTCATACATCTGTCAAAAACTGGTATTCCAACAATGAATTGACATGTTTTGATTGTTGCGATAATTTGCACTAGTGCAAACTATCAGATAATTGCATACTAACTGGTGCGAAAACTGGTGTTTTGACATTTTTTGATAAAAAACTTAAATTTTTGATTTATGAAATTCTCTCATTAAATACAACTCGTGCAATGGAAATATATTTATAATTTTCGACAAATTTGCACTCATGCGTTTTTAACTGAAAAAGGCACTCGTGCACTACGTGCACTCGTGCTCTTTTTCAACTAAAAATGCATTCGGGCAAATTTCCCAGAAATTATCAATAATTTCCATTGCACTAGTTAGGGTAGATTGATAATTAAATAAAAATCGATTTCAAATTTGAATTTTTAATGAAGGAATAATATTCCCATTAAAATAATTATATTTTGATGTACTTCAATAGTTCAAAAAGGTTTTTTAAGGATTACCTACCATATAAATTTTGCCCATGTATCTAATGTATTGACTACACTGTATTCTAGAAGTAAATCAGCTAGGATTTTGGGGCAATGGCGTTCGTTATAAATAGTTTATAAGTTTGAGTTTAGTGGGGTAGTTTTCGTTTCAAAAAGTAATAAGTGAATTTTAATTTTGTATATACCTACCTATTAATAAAGCACCTAAATAGACCCGCAAACACGATAGACGACAAATCTTTATTATATAACCAATTTGTTTCCATTTGTCATAAAAATAATATTTCGACGCCTATGGATTCCCACGTGACTTCAAAGAGATCGATTGAGCCGTCTTTTTTATGAAGTTTCAATTAATAGGTTTGTTCCAGCCTGCAATAATATTACTGTAATATTATCGTCCGTAACCGCGCTAATGCGACTGCGCAATCAAAAACAGTAATATACTAAATAACTTAAAAACTTGTTGGAACGTTTTTTGAACTAGAAGTACTCACAACACAAGCTGAAAATAACAAAATCAACATAACTTGCATACTTGCAGGTGAATCATCTTCCACCACAATAAAGAATTTTTCTAAATCTAATATAAGACAAAAATCAGATTTATTAACTCTGAGAACAAATAAAATAAAATTACTTAACTTCTATAGCAGTCATTTTCAAATAAACAAAAAACTGAGGTCTGGGTTATGTATTATTATTTATGTTCGTTGTTGTTCAACCACTGACCCGTTTTCGACCTCACTACGCATGCGTCTAATTTTCGAACCAACAGTTCTTCCTTTCAAGCAAGAATTGTTTGAACCGTAATTTTACTATCCGTAACTCCGGTTGGAACGACGAACTGTCAATTATCGCTAATTCTAAATTAGTAATTTTAACTGGTTGGAACAGCATTTCACATTTGCGCATGTGTGCCAGTAATATTACTGGAAATTACTGCCGGTTGGAACAAACCTATTATTGGTTATAGTAACTTATTATATTGGTCAAAAGCTCGAGAGACGAGAGAAAACGAGGCACCACGAGACGAGAACACCCTCTTGTTTCCTCTCACGACATTAGTGTATAAGACAGCTCTGGACATCGTTGCCACAAAAAAAAACCATAATGTCATTTATTTCGTCGTTTGCTCGGTTACAACTTTCAACTCAAGTATCTATTGAATATTCTTGACTTCAGAAACGCAATTACCTATATCTTATGAGTCAAAATTGACGAAAGACGAGAGAAGAGCTCTCTTATCTAGACTTGTCTGTCGCTCAAGATGAGAAAACAGCCTCCCTAATTTTCCCTCTCTTTAGAATTCGGTTTCGACTTACGTGAAGCGCGAAACCACTATGACAAGATTTTACCAAGCTTTTCGTCGTTTGAACAATACTTATACCTATACCTTTACTTTTTGCTATCGAGAAAAAATTATCAACTGTCGCCATGAAAATGGTAAATATTTCCCAAATAGATAGACATAGCGAAATCATTTTGTTTTATTTTTATTATGGCATGCCTTATGGGGTTAGTGAATAAGTTAATTAAGCTAGATACAAAAATTGATACAGTCTCATGTATTTTGGCTAGAAACAATAGGCTCGAATTAAAATCTTTTCTATGGTCTTAAATTATCTAAAATCCAATCCATGTAGTACTTCGTTAGAGTGTATACACCTGGATATCCTGGTATTCCGCAGTATTTTGGTCCAAATGAAACTATTCCCTAAAAACAATAATAATATATAATTAAAGTCGGTTCATAACTTTAAAACATGAATGATGACATATTGGCGATGGTGAAAATTTGAACAACTTTTACAAAATCACATTATAGTACCTAGTGGTATTCAGTATACTCACTGTTCGCAGATGACCTTAAAATATGTAAAATATTGTAAAACATCCGCAGACAGTATGTTTGAAGAGAATAGATGATGTTGCCTTGACTTAAAGCCCAAGCAATCCTATAATGAGCAAGTGAAACCTATAAAGATGCATAATAAACTACCATAGATATAACAAAGGTTAAAGTCAAGCTAGTAGAAGACATTAAGCAAGGATAACAAGGAAATCAAAGAGACGACACAAGAAAAATAAATACCAACTTCAATATTTGAGAAAATCGACCTAAAATGCGGACCTTCAAGAAAAAAAGCATCGAGAACATCATAAGATAGAAATTAGAAAATGAAAATGAATCACCAAATAAGCAGCAACCACCAAACTAAGCCCTGGAACATCTCACCATGACCACTGAACGAAGAGCAACAATAACTGGTCCAAGTTTTGCTACAACTTTTTAATACATTCCAACCTTGGGTCGTTGGTTGAGTAGACGAGAAAGGAATTTGAAGAAAAGAAGAAAAAAATCTAGAATATATTCAAGAAAGAAGAAAGCGCTTTTAGAATCCTACGTCAAGACAAAACAATTATTGAGAACACTAGAAAAGAGAAACTATGTTAAACTAAAGGTAAATAGATTCAACAGTGGAAAGAAAAATCTAGAATACTGCGGAAATGAAGCATATTATTTTTTTATTCATCGGCAGAATGCTTTTATTAAAAACTCGCTTTTCAAACTTATTTTACCAAGTAATATAATATTGTACTAATCTTACCTGTTGGATATACACAGCCGTCAACTCCTGATTAATGGAAGTCACCATCATCGGTCCTCCACTATCGCCTGGACACGAATCCTTATTATGAACCCCACCGGCACATATTTGAGTATGAACCAGTTTTATATTATTGTTGTTATAGGTATTAGTGCAACTGTTTTTATCGGCTATTGGTAATTTTACTTTCTGTAGGATGTCACTGGTTTCACCTAAAAATTTGTTAGTTACCTACTAAAACAACTTTTGTGATTTTGGGCCTAGTAAGAATTTCAGAAATTGTGTCGACAGATATTTGTGGTCCTAAACCTACTCATAAGTCATATTTTGTGTTTGATATTTATTAAAAAGAAAAAGCCAAAGGGTACCTAACAAATCTTCAGGAACAATTTCCGATAATTCCACCTTTTTTAGTGAGGCATGATAACTCCTCTCTTTACTTACCAGTATTTGTATTTGTTACTCCCCATCCGGTAACAAACACTGAGTCATATGTCTTTGTCCTTTCTCTACCAAGTGGTAGACACACTGGTCTTACATTCTCTAAAAAATATATTTTATCTAAGTAGGTATATTAAAACAAGTAAATTACAAAAATTTTAATAAGGCAGACATTAGGAGTTCCATTGCAGTAGTAGAAAAGGAGGAATAACAAAGAAAAGGAGGATGGGTAGGAATAACAAGAAAAGGAGGATTGGGAGGAATAACAACCTCGGTAATATTACAAAAAATAAACCTGGGAGAGTATGGCCTATTTTGTGCTTTTGTTGATTCTGATTTCCAAAAGGCAGTGCCAACAGTACCTACATATTTAGTTGGAAAGACAAAACGTACCACTTACCAACGTTTAAATTCATAGTAGAAACTCTCAACAATCCGATGTCGTTCAAAAACGATCTGGCTCCAAATTTAGGATGAGGTATGACTTGTTCGATTCGCAAATCTTGCACTGGTGGATTACATTTTAGTTTTTTATTCACTATTTCACAGTCGGTTTGGTTTTTGATGCTGTGTTCCCCAACTCGTACCGAATCACTAAAAATAAGAAACTTATGGTCAATTATTGAAAATATACCTATAGTTTATTTGAGAATTCAAAAGAATTGTAAAAACCTCTCATCATAGGCAGTGGCGGATTCAGGATTTTCTTCAGGGGGGGGCGCAAGCTTAGAATTATCAACAATGATTTCTTGAAAATTTATTTTCACTTTACTTATACGTTAAAGAATGTAGGTACAGGGTGGTTCAATTTGGACACTTTTGATATGAAATAGTGGTACTTTTCCATGCAGAATTCAATGTCGTTCTCAATTATTTTAATTCGTCTTATTTTTTTTTTAAATAAAATACCCTATTTATACATTAATAACTAATTGATAGCTCTATTATTGCTTATTATAATGATACATATAAGGTTTAATAGGTCTATCTCTAACAGTTTTCTAGAGACAAAAATTATAGATGTTTCAATCAAAAGAAACAATTTGTTAGAAGGAGACCTATCTCATTTTCCTTATATAAAGTCCTTTTCTAACACATTGTTTCTTATAACAAAAAGAGATACAATTTTTTTGGTGTAAAACCGATCGAACTTTGTATCATTGAAAGCAGCAAAAGCAGAGCTATCCAATCAGTTATTGATATACAGGGTGTTCCTAAATATCATGTACAAACTGAAGGGCGTGATTCTTTGGTTTATTTTATGACTAAAATTTCTGATAAACATAGGTCCGCAAACGCTTCGTTACCTGTCTACGGGGTGTTGAAATTTTAATGCATTCATATTGAGAATGAGCAGGATTAGCAGGAATATGGCGGCGAGAAGTGTCTTACCTGTAGATTGCTATTGAAAATGAGCAAGAATATGGCTGCGGGACCTCTGTTGTCGCCACTGTAGGTTTATTCAGTAACTTTAGTTTCATCTAGCTAATTACAGAGCAAACGTTTGACATGTACAATCATTCAGCTCTTATTGCGTAACCTAGATTCCTAATTTGATCTAAATCCCTCAAAAATTGCAGAAGCTATAAAAAAAAAACTAAAAAAAATATTAAAATTTCAACACCCTGTAGATCGGTAACGAAGCGTTTGCGGACCTATGTTTATTAGAAATTTTAAAATAAAATAAACCAAAGAATCACTTCTTTTCGTTTGTACATGATATTTAGGAACACCCTGTATAGGGTGTCCGGTGTCCCATCAAAACAATCGGACTCTGGTTATTATCTTGAATTCGGGAAAAAATAGAAAAAAACTGAGAAAGTCACTGGATTCTCTAGCCACAAAACGGTTGAAGATATAAAATTTGAGCCTCAGAGTGGGGGGTTTATTTTTTTGTATCTCGCTCAAAAATTGGACAACCCTGTACATATCAAAACACCGAAAATAACAAATGAAAATACCTATCAACCTATTCCAATTAAAAATATAACACATTTATCTGATAAAAACAACACAAATTGAACAATAGTGTAGCTTGGAAAATTTTCCAATAACATTTTATTAGAAAATTTTTCCATAAACTTTCATTGGAAAATTCTTTTATAAAATTTTTCTATCTATAATTTAAAAAAAAAAATTTAGTAGTTTTTGAGGTCTCAGGGGGGGGCGCGCGCCCCCCGCGCCCCCCCCCCCCCCCTGTATCCGCCACTGATCATAGGTGGATGAGCCGATTCCATAAAACTTTTAATTTCAAAAATTACATAACATGTTGCACCTAATAGAGTTTCAAAAAGGCACTTTATTTTTGGACTTTTTTTCGTAAAACTAATGATAGTTTTTAAAAGCTGTTTCCAAAATTTTGGGTATATGTATAAACCCACATACGTAAAAATTCCGAGACGTCATTGTATAAAATCTACCACACAGAATTTAAGTTGTCCACTTGATGCATAATTATATATGGGTAGAGTCCGCGTCAAGACTAAAGGGTACGGTGTCGTCATTTGCGCACAAACCCAATTTTGAAGACTAACCGAAGTATCGTATCGATCGGTGCTGCTGCCGAACTCCAAGCACGTGGTTCATTGTCGTACGGCCAGCAGGCATATTTATTTAGTTTATTTTGTATCCAAGTTTTGTCTAAAAAGATACCCCGGTGCTGGTTTCAGCTCACGGCCGAGGTCACGGCAGACAGCGAGAGATAGACGAGGGAGAGAGATCCGACCCGCTTCGCGCAGCTTTTTATTTCGTCACCGTAGTCTTTAGTGCTGATTTTACCTCTACCTAATAACTATGCTAATAATATTGAAATTGAGACAAAGGGGGTCATTTAGTACAATCGATTCGTTATAAATTATATGTATAGAGTACCTATATATTACCTATATCCTTGTATAATACAATATTTTGATGACATACTAGCTATAGTGACGATTTTCTGATTTGGGGTTCTACAAAAGAAGATTACGATTGTACCCAGGGCCGGATTAAGGGGGGGGCTTTGGGGGCTAAAGCCCCGGGCCCCGAAATGAGGGGGGCCCCAAAACACCACCTCACACGGGAAAGAAATCGCATGCGTATAATTTACAATTTCGATTTCGCAATCTATTATCTATCAATTATATCAAGCACAACACTACCCTATAATATTATTATAGAGTAGCTGGTATAATTATTGATAGATGGTGCACTATCCGCATAAAAGCTACAGTGACTTTATACAAGACAGTGGCGACAATAGGAACCTTGATAGGGCCCACCCGCCATGTTTTGTCAAAACAAAATTGCATAAAAATCCATAGGATTAAAATAGGCCGGCATACACACACGTTATTTCGCGCGGTTTATCGTGGCGTGTTGGGATGTAGCGGTTTGCACGCGCGAAAGAACGGCGTGGCAAAAAAAGCGTCATATTCCATACACTTGACAAAGTATTCAAATGATTTAGATTTAGCACGTGATTACGCGTGGCATATCAGTTGGAAAGGAAAAACCGTATGTGTATGGGTAAAAAGTGTCATTTATGGTGTCGTTTGGAAGTGCATGTTGTCATGTACTAATTTTCAACGTGATAGTTTGCTACGCGGCGTTTATGTCTCCGTACTACTAGCCTCAAAACTGTGACGTGAAATGGCGTGTGGACACGGTTGTGAACTGCACTATCATGTACTTGAGTACTGAGACGTCACATTCCAGATGAAAGCACGTCTGAAATCCCTTCCCATTCTATCATTGCGTGTAGCCCTCCTCACTCACGTACATGATTTTTCACAGGTTTTTGCAGATGACACGATAAACCGCGCGAAAGACCGTGTGTCTATGCCGGCCTGATTAAAACAAATTGCTTTTGTCAAAACATGGCGGATGAACTACGTAATTCTGAGAACCAATCAAAAATGGGACAACCCACTGTCACCACTGTCTTGTATAAAGTCACTGTAATAAATGCACCTGCAAGGTCAAGTTTTGTTTGAGTGACGTTTGAATTTATTTCAGGGACCTAGGGGCCCCTTTTGTGAAAATAGCCCCGGGCCCCAAAAGACCTTAATCCGATCCTGATTGTACCTACCTTGAAAATAGTTCTATAGAAAAAGCTTGCGAAATAATTCCTGAAATAAACATCAGCAAATATAAATTGAGCATTGAAAATCGTTCATCGTTGATATTTTCTTACCAAACGAGATTAGTACTAATTATTATACTATACTAACATTGATGATAAAATTTAAGCTATACCTACATAAAAAAATTTGTAACAATCATCGCCGGATAAATATTTAAACCCAAAATCCAATAGATGGGTACCTATTTATATATTACATTTTTTGGATCTAAATAAAGCAATCGGGGCTGTTTTACTTTGAAATATGTGTGCGATAGTATATGTTCATCTGAACGTGAACTATGATGGGAGTACGTATCTGTTGTGAAACTATAAAAAACCCAGGAGCGCACCCAGGGGGGGACTATCGGGCCAGGGCCCCCTCCAGAACGTCCCTCCATTACTGTATTTTTAAGTTTAAAAAATCAAGCATAGCAACATTAAGGCGTGGCACCCTGACACCTCAATTTTTTTAATGATTTTCAGTCACAAGCTACAACCCATGTAGGCCCCCCTCCCAAACGTATTTTCTGGGTGCGTCACTGGTGAAACCCATTTACTGATACGATACTGTGAAAAAAAAAAGTGCTTCCCTAATGTTTCAATATATTAGTAAAATTTCTAATAGTTGTTGCGGCTTTTTCAATAAAATGGTAATCAAATGTCAACTTTATTTTATCATAAAAATTGGAAATTCCACAAGCTGAGCTAGGGTTGATCTGTTATAAACTAATTATTCGATTTGGAAATTCCACATAAGGTTTGGAAATTGGAATTTCCGCAAGCTTAGGATGATTTCTTTTTATTTGATTTAATGATAATTTATGTCTTACTGGACTTTCCACAAACTGTGGTAACTATGAACTGAATTTTAAATAATTTGCATTGTACCTACGGGTATATAAACATTGAACACATATTGATTTCAATTTTTGATTTGGCTATCAAATTACGTACTTCACAATAAAATTGAGGGCAAATGCCTATGGATTCATTAGAACAAGTGGAACTTTATAAAGCAGTTATTAGATCAGTGTCTTTATAAAAACCAAAATATTTAATTCGTCTGTGTAGTTATAAGTAGGTATGTATCATTATTGGGTTCATGACCATCAATGAAAGATGAAATTTTTTTTTATATATTTAGGCATAGGAAATAGGTACTAAAAAATACAAAAGTTAACATGCCTAACAAGCACCTACTTTGGACAACTGATAGGTACCTACCTACCTACTTACATTCTTGAATTGGTTAGAGCTGCGATACAGTGTGCTGCTGTAAGGATGTAGTTCTTATTGATAATTGTACCACCGCATTTAAAACGTAATTCTCCTTTTTTTGCTAAAAAAAAAAAAAAAAAACCAAAACTGATGAATAGATCCTCACTAGTAGGAAATTGATGTAATATACAGACCGGATAATAGTTATTTGTGGTATAGATATAGATAGCCTACTATGTGAATAGCAAGTTGGAGTTATAGAAACAGAATCAAATGAAAAACTCGAAAATTTTCACAAAAGAATAGGGTATTCATTTGCCCAAGGAGTGCTCGTTGTTGCCATCAACAACTTTTTTGCCCACTTTCAGTACAGAAAAAGCGAGTGTTGTTTTATTGAAAGTAGTTGCTGAAATTTTAAAAAGTTATTAGTTTTTCAAATATCTTACTTCCATTGTATCGGATTAATGCCATCCAAGGAAATTCGTTTATAGCCGCATCTTCGCCATTAATTATTCTATTGTCAGAGTTCAAATAGCCACAATCAGATGGTAGTAAATTTATATTTCGGTGACCACTAACATCTGGAGGTTCGGTATTGATTTCATTTGTTGGTTCTAGAATTATTATTGGATTCTGTGGACAACAAACCTGGAAAAAATTGATACCTAACATAACACACAATGGAAATAAAATAAGTAATCTGTTTGGGATGTGAAAAATAACTGTTGAACATAAAATGAAACTTTCTACATTAAGATTTTTTTTATGAATCAAAAAAATTAATACAATGGGAGATTTTTGATCGTGGCGCCATCTATGACTAGAATGCATTACTATACCAGGTGTCCCACTAAGGTCGGCCAGGGACGATATTAGAGAGATTTTGAGCCACCTATTTGATCAACGTTATACGTTATCGGTTATTTTGCTCATGCGCAATAGTGAAAAAATAACCGGTCCGCTTAATAAGCGCTAACGTACTACGCTAATTATGTGGAAATAAACGGAACGTTATTAGCCGATAACGTTTTAACATCTTTTCCGCATTTTGACGTCCTTTTATATTTTCAATGTTATCCATAAGTGCAGTGCACAATAACACAAAACGAAATACAAATGAATACCTAACAATTCTAACATAAACAACAGACAACATAAAATTTAATGTTAGTTACACAAAATCAAAATCCTAACCACAAATTTTCATTAACGTTTAGCGTATAACGTCCTTCACAAGTTTTGGCTTCAAAAACTAAAAAAGGCTAAATGTCATCCGCTATTTTTCAAAGACTGCGCTTGCTCAGTTTATCGTTTAGCGTATAACGTATTTCAAAATTTATGTGGCTCAAAATCTCTCTATTATGGAAACCATAAACCTTACGGCTTCGGGATTTTTTTTTCTTCACTAAATCGGCCAAGAGAAATCGATGGAAATTATTTTCAAGTTTCTAGGATGACCGCTAGGGGGCGCAATTACGATGATATAGCTAAAAATTCAACTTTTCTCAAGAAATCGCTATATTAAGATACTGTTTTAACAACAGAAATCAAAAGTTCATTAATTTTTGCGCCAGTTTGGTTATTAGGCTTTTTTTCGTATCTTCAGTAATAAGGGAAGCTGGTGAATTATTTTTTTTTTTTTTGAAATTGCTGTATCTTCCATACCCTTCATTCAAACTCATTCACTTTGAGTTTATTTGGAAGAGAATTTCATTGTTATTAAGAACACCACTTCGTTCGAGGTCGATAGTTCCCACCGCGTCTGCTAGAGGGCGCTGTTTATTCAAGATCCAGTTTTTCCTAATTTTCATGAAAAATCCAAATGGCATAATATTATTTTTGTATTGCTGTGCTTAAAGAGCAAAAAAATATCTACATTTTGGCGCAAACCGTAATTCAATATCTGCATTCGTTTTCAAGTTACGTGAGGTCTATGGTCTCCATAATATCGTACCTGGCCGACCTTAGTGGGACACCCTGTACAACAATTTGCTGTTTTAGCACTGCTCGTCAAAAGGCCGACCAAAAATCAGTTCTTTGGTGCAACCCAAAATAGGAAAAAATGAAAATGTGGGTTGTTTATACTCGCATTTCCATCCACATACGCGTTTTGATCTCATCAGGGTGTCTAGGAAAGCAATGAAAACCAACCCAAGTTTTTTGCCTGTAGGCGTAGGCAAACTAGAACCAATATGATTGGAGATTTTTGGTCGTGAAATGCGTCTGTGAATGGAAAAACGAGGAAAAACAACCCACATTTTCATGTTTTCCTATTTTGGGTTACACCAAAGAACTGATTTTGGGTCGGCCGTTTGACGATCCAGTGCTAAAAAAGCAAAATGTTGTATAGTACTGCATTCTAGTCATAAATGGCGCCACGAACAAAAATGTCCCATCGTACTGGTTCTAGTTTGCCTACAGGCAAGAAACTTGGATTGGTGTTCTTTCCTTTGCTTTCCTAGCCTCCCTGATGATATCTGATCGATCGGAACGCGTCTGTGGATGGAAAAGCGAGGAAAAACCACCCACATTTATTTCCATGTTAAAAATTACTATTTTTCGCGAAAACAACTACTGCTTAACAGCCCAATAAAATTCTTTTTTTCTAAAAGTTAATGACTTTTTTTTTTAAATTAGGTTCCTCATTATTATTAAAAACACCGCGACATTCAGTTTCATATTTATCTAATATTATTATGGATACTAGCATACCTTTACACTGTCACCATTGGGTCCACAAGTATATGCTTGCAGTCGTTTTAATATCGTACCGGAAATTGGTCTTTTAAGGCTTTCCAAAACTTGAACCATAGGTTTGCATTCCTTCAACGGTACACAATTTCCTGAACCTCTGTCTGGCGTTCTGCAACCGTCATCGTCAAATACCCACTCTAAGACAAACAGAAAATAGGGTAAAAAATTATAATATTAAGTACCAATTGGATTTTATTCAGTGTGTAGGTACCTATATGTATAAAAAATATACACTTAAGTGTGAGGCAAAATCCAGCATATTTCAGCATCTACGCTGATGCTCGCCACTTCTAGGTCAACACTTAACCCTCAAAAAGATAACAGGAAAAATACCAAAAAAAGTTACTCCTAATTTAAAATGCCTAAATAGCATTCCTGACAATTTTAGTCGGTAAATAGGTATTTAATGCATAGTTAGTAAAAGTTGTCCAAAGTCTATCTTCGTCCCACACTTTAAGTTTGTCTAAATTCTAAACCATCTAAGAAAGAGAGATTTCACATTACTGCTGGTGAAAATATTACGATTTATTTTGAGATTTGATATTAAAGTGGAGAGTAGGTATTATTGAGCTAATGATATTAGCCTTTTGAAACAAAAATCCGTCTCTTGTGGTGTAAAAACATCATCTACGTTTCCATTTTCTGATTTAATTTTGTGTAAGCACGGTAAATCATTTTTTTTTCTTAGATTTTTTTAAAAATTCAATGCAATAATTTAGAAATCACGACATAACTAACATTACAGGAACACTTCGAACCACTCAAATTAAGCTTAACTGTTCAATAGGCCTTGAGAATCGTCGGAGGCTCAATCAACAATTACCTGGTACTTCAGGCTAGGGACTAAGGCATCAGACTAGCTCTATGTCGTACCGTTGGTGATACTCAGAGAAAATCTGTAAAAACCAAAAACGACAAGAAACAGGACTATGATTTTTGGAACATGAAACGAACAAGGAATGACTTGAAATTATGCACGATAAGTATAGTGACCACTCGCCCAACAAGGAGTATACTATATACGTTGGTTATCCAGGTGATTACGAAAGTGCATTATTAACTGGGAAGCTGTAACGGAAAACTTATGAAAACAAATATCGGTATAAGCGGCCTAAGCGGGTAGAGACCTAGGATTTTGGGATTCTATACAGTAACTAAATGAAGACACGGAATACATTTTCTCCGAGGACAAATATCATCACATCAGTCAGTGCTTCAATAGAAAAATAATGATCTTAGGAGACAGAATAGGTCAAAAAATGAATAGACTCACTGCTAGTCGACATGCGGGAAAGACGATAAAAACGATTATGAAAACAGACTTGAAAATTCAAGTAAATTCCCCCAATTGTCCTAACACAAGAACATGCATAGTTTCACCTGGGACCAAACCTTCCTAGAATTTAAAATCAATCATCGATTACTAAATTACTAAACAAAACACAAATTTGAATATACAGGATGTCAGAGCCTAACATGTGACCACTATTTTCTGGAAGTTATTACTTTCCTCTTTATTTATCAACAGAGAGAAAGTTGGTACCTACCAACAAGAGAAAGAAAACCAAGACAGACTGGGAGAAGATTTTGACCAGTGTAGTAGCAGGAATGTAAGAAACATAGAGTACGACAGCGTACAGAACTTGTACCAAAGAACTCTGAACAAAAAACTTAGAGCATCGCCAGAGAGAAAATAAAGGATAAGGGAAGATTTATTACACATACTTATCCAAAAAACAAAAACAGATTAAAGTCAACAAAAATACAAGAACGCATTAGCAAAATAAGAAGAACGGTAGCCTCAAAGAATCCATGGACTATCCATGCCAGAAAACATACTCATATATAGGCGATCGAAGAAACGCGGAGAGTTGGAGAGTTATAAGAATCACGAGAAGAGAACTCTATATCTCTATATCATAATGTCTTCAATAACAGAGATAATCACACAGCAAATAAACACAGATTCACACTTTAAAAAATTACCAATACTTGAACGAGCTTTGTTACAAGAAAAAGATGTGATCATAATTATATATCATTCCTGAAGCTGCTGCTGCTGTATTGTGTTTATAGAGCGTTAGTCCGATTGCACTCTTACGCTATGTTGGGTGGGTAAATCTACTCACTGCTGTGTTGTGTTTAAAGTGAATTATTGTGGACAGGAGTGGGGAAAGGAAAGGAAAGGAGGAAAAGAGATTTAATTCAACTAGTAGAGAATAGGAGCTTTTAAATTTCGTAGGCGAGTCCTATAAGGGTTAGAGTTATCGCCAAATAAGTTTTTAATGATGTCATTGGTATGGTTAGTTATTGAGTCAAGAAACCGCGTACCTATGTTTCTCAACAGGATACTCCTGGATTCTGTCGACGCTAAGATCCGTATGTAGGTCCACCTTGCGAACATACCACGCAGCGCCGACCATCCTTCGGATTACCTTGTTTTGAAATGTATGCAGTTTCTTTTTGTTTTGTCGTGCAGTCTGAGAAAAAACTGGTGCGCCGTAAAGTAAAGAGCTTCTTATGACTTGCTTGTATAGTAAAAGTTTGTTCTTAAGAGATAATTCACTGTCCTTGATAAGTAGAGGGAGGAGCAATCCTACAAATATGTTGGATTTGTTCAATTTGTGGCATATATGTGGAGTCCAAGAAAATTTATTATCCAGAATTAGTCCTAAGTATTTAATTTGATTTGTCCAAGTTATTACAGAATCGTTCAGTATGAGATTGTCAATGTGTTTGTTATGTTTATGGGTGATCAGGACAGCTTGGATCTTATCGACAATGATGTTGATTTTCCATAATTTTGCCCAGTCAATTATGGAGTCAAGAGTCAAGGTGAATTTAATTGAATTGAAAAAGTGCTTTATTGCCCAAAAACTAGTATATTCTTAGGTATATTGACAAAACTTAGTTAAATTATTAATATTAAATTAAAATAAAATATAAATAGAAATACTTTAATGGCTATTATTTCCTCAGAATGTTAATCCCTCGCCGCTAACGTGGCTCCAGTTCGTAAATATTCCTCAGGAATAATAGCTATCATTATTGAATCGTGGTATCATCTACAATTTTTTCCAATGTGAAAAATTAATGTTTCTCTCTCTTTAAAGATAAGTACCTTTGTAATTAATAATTTAATTTATTATTGATTTCATCCATTTTTGATACCGGAGGAAGCCGACATTTTTAAACCAAAATTCAGACATCTCGAGAAATAGTAAAACGTCTGCAAGAACAATGTCCAGTCTGTCTGGTCCAGTCTAAAACTTTTTCCCACAAAAACAGCGGCCTACTAACCCTCTAAAGATATATCATATGGGTGCAATACATTTGAGTTATTAGCGAAGAAAAAGTATGGGATTTTAATTTGGCCCACAGTGTATAGGTTTGATTTTCTTTAAAATAACAATAAATCATGCTGAAGTGGTTCTGGCCAATAGAAATCAACTTTCAGACAAAATTTTACTAGACACTTAGCATTTTTTTTGTTGAATGCCTCCACTCACAAGTGGATGCAAGCACAAAAACAATATCCAAATTAGACAAAACAACAAATAGTATAAAATTTTAACGTTATATAAGGTACCTGTCCCAAATAAGGCCACATTAAGAAGTTTTATTTTTTCCTAACATTATCCACCAAACCCAATAAAAATCACGAGCTTATATGTGAAGTGTTTCGCTTCTATTACTTGAATATTAACTCCAATTTATTTATTTTTTTATATAAATGGTGGTTTATGCGTAAAGCAAAGACGCTTACCATTGGCCTTATTTGGATCACTATGCTCCTAATAAGGCCACCATTAAAAAATGTTTAAAATAAATACAATTATTTATAAAAATATTATTATTCGAGAAATAGTACACAAAATAGAACTTTTACGTTTATTGCATTCCTAAAAATACAATAATTCCAAGTCCTGGGATGGTGATCCGAATTGGTCTACATACAACTAGGACAAATGAATCGCAGCATCTCTTGCTTGGTAAGACTCCAGGCTTTTCAAAAAACACCACTCAGGTAATAATATGACACATTCTTTAAAAAAAAACACTGTGATGTGAGGCCAATTGAACATTTTTCGTATGATGGCCTTATTAGGAACATGTTAAATTGATAAAAAAAAAGCCTGTAACTAGAAATCTAGCAAAGGTATTATTCTGTACTTACTCTGTAGCTTTCTCAATACATAAATGTCTGTTAAAAAATTATAATCGCTACATTTACTTTATAAATACGTATATAAACTAACTGACTTTCAGCCTCAAAGTTATAACGTGACATATGAAATATGTGGTTGGCCATTTTTCGACATATGACGACTTATTGCTAGGAACCCTTGCAATAATTTTTGATTTGCATTATAGATATCTTTTTTAATAATATTGTGATTTTTGAAAATGGGATTTAATATTAAGCAATAAAGGGCACTGGCCTTATTAGGTACATGGCCTTATTTGGGTCAGATACCTTATAGTACAGGATGTTTACGGTCTTGTGATTTTATTTTTAAGGGGTGAATAAACACCTTAAAAAAATGTGATTAACGCTAAAACACCCCAATAAATTCAAACACATGGCTACCGACGTAGGGAGGGTCCGGTTAGATGGCCTCCACGGTCACCCGACCTTACTTCACTCGATTTTTATTTTTGGGGCTTGATGAAAAGCATGGTATACACCGATGAAATACATGATCTAGCAGATCTTCGTAACCGTGTTGAACTAGCTGCGAACACCATTAGACAGCAAGGCCTAGGACTTGGACGTTATGCCGATTCATAGATACATCGAGCGAGACTTTGTATTCAACAACAACAGGGCGATTACTTTGAGCACCTGTTGTAGTGTTTTTCTGATTATTAAGTGATTACATAGTTTTTGAAAATAAATTGTTATAAATTTTTAAAAATTCATGTCTCCCTTAGTGTTTGACTTTTATTAGGGTGTTTTAACGTTAATCGCATTTTTTTGAGGTGTTTATTCACCACTTAAAAATAAAATCACAAGACCGTAAACACCCTATATACCTACTAAAAGAAGTTTAAAACTTTCAATTTGTTGGTGTTACTTTCCATTAATTAGGTAGGTAAACCAAATGCAATTAAAAATTTGCCAGTCGCCTTACCTTAAATCGAAACCTGTCGAGAGCAAGAAATGCATTTATACATCGAAATTTTTATCTTGAAGGTAAGGACCGGTTTTTGAATTTAAAGTTTAATTTAATATCTAGTATCTTTCTTAATTTGAAAAGCATAGTACCTGGTCCATTGTGTAAACATTGCCAAAACTCAAACATAATTATAAACAATAAATACTCACGAGCATACAAGCAGGTTCTTAAACATCCAACACAAAACACAATCAACAACAAAAGTCTCGAAGAATAACACATTATTGCGATACAAGCGATCTCGTCAAACTGGTGTCTATGGTAGTAGCGATAGTAGTGGTAGCTGGGTGTCTACTGTCTACATCAAAAATAACAATAACTACAGTTTATCAAAACACAAAAGCGAATTTCTCAAACTCGACTAACCGGATAAGTCGGACGTAAAATGTAGAATTCATATTATCCCATTATGCATTTGGCTTAAAATTCCAATATGGAATATTAACTTAATAATACATAAAGGTCGTGTGTGTCATTGCTTATTTGACCTCGCGGCAGAAGATTTTTTTTTTTAATTTGGTGCATTGGTTCTTTGATATTTATTGTAATTGATTGATTTATTGGAAAAGTCGATTTGTTTTTTTTTCCTAATTTGACAAACATTATCCAACTTTGTCCAACCGGCAACCAGGATCCACGCCAAATATCTGGTGTAGATAAACATAGAAACATCATAATATCATACAAAAGATATCCAGCAGAAAGTCTGCATGACTTGCTTACACCTCACAATGAACCTTCATGTTCCAGAACTATAACCACTAAAATCAATCAATGCCGCACGGGATTGGACCAATGAGGAACTGATTCAAGAAATATTAAAATCCAAACACTCAATAGTTCACCATCTTCGCTATATTATTCAATAATCATTTTGATTCTTGTATCTATCTGCATTCTATATATCGACTGCGGAAACCTTTCAGACTTTCTATAGGAACGCTGAAACAACATTCATACAGATCTACCCTTAAAAAAAAATATGACCAATTTACGCACCAATCCAGTTGATCTTTGGAAGCTTATTGCTGCAGAGCACCATTTTTTTACTTAAAATGGTATCCTTTACGGCCATTTGCACCGCTATAACTTAAGGGATATTTATTCCAAGTAGAGCTTTGAATATGATTCTTGTAGAAACAAAAGTCACATTCAAAGCTCCACTTAAATTAAATATCCCTTAATATCCCTTAAGTGATAGCCATTTGCACCAAATGATCCCTACAAGTGTCCTAGTCAATGTACTAGAAATCGCCAAGCCCCACACCATTGCATACCATATCCAACAGTAATTATTATAGTATGCATAAAAAACCCAAGATTTCAAAGATTTGTTGAGTTAAGGGGATTTCTGCTTTTTCCCGATACTATATTGAATTCGGGAAAACAATCCATTTTTAAAATTTAATTGTGGGAATTTCAAGACAACTAATAATTTCAAATTTTGATAGTATATCATACGCAGGTTAAAAAGTGTCCTGTTCAATTATTTTTTTGATAGTTTGTGAATACCTAGAGGCACGTAATAGAAATAAATTTTTTTAAAGATTTCAGAGCCCATTAATTTACAATGATTTATAGTTAGTAACATATTATTTTGTCATCGACGTCAACTAACGGTTATTATATGTTGGAGACAAATCCCGAATTCAAACCGTTGCCGATATAATTGGAATTCTATGTACATATTGGACAAGTCATGATGCCGAAACAGTAACACAATTCGGTATCTGGATAACATGATTTGGACACACAAATGCCTGCCCTATACGCGGCTGCCAAGTAATCATCTTGCATGCCAATTTTAATGCGAGAGAATGAAATGTCTAGAGAAAGTCTAAGGTTGAATAGAGAACGAAAACGATTTCCCCTGTTCCACCTCTAGCATTCCCAGCGCTTTTTTCTGGAGGTGAAATAGGAGAAATCGTTCTCATTCTCTATTTATCCTTAGACTTTTTCTAAACATTTCACTCTATCGCGTTAAAATTGGCATATAAGATGAGAAAGAAAATCGAATATTTTAAATTGAAAAAATGTATAATAGAGTTGACCTAACATTTATTCTCTTCCTTATTGCGACAAGAAGAACTTGGATGACATTTAAACTACTATTACATTTTTTCCATCTATTCATTAAACAGTAATTTCCATGTTTTGTCAGCACATGTTTACGATTACAACAGTTGTACCGTACCAAACCTCTGGAACAAAACATTTAATTACATATTATTAATATTGTTATTTTATTACTATTATTATCTAATTACCTCAGTAAATGCTTTTTCCTACAGCCGTGCGGAAAAATCGATTTTCCGCACTGATATGCGTGCGGAAAATGAGTTTTCCCGCACGGTGCGGTAAAACTTTTTTTTTTGACATATCAGTGCGGAAAAAGTTTTTCCGCACGGCTGTCAGTGCGGAAAAAATTTAGGGTCCACAAAATTTCATCAAACTTGAGCCTCTGAGTGGGGGGGTTCATTTTTTTGTATCTCGCTCAGAAATTGATGTTTCCTATTAAAAGTGTCCAAATTGGCCCACCCTGTACATTTGGGTTTTGAACCATTCTAAACAAGAATTTGCTATCAGAATTTTTCTAAAAAAATCCGTAATAGTACTTATTGAAATTTGAGCCTATAAATGTGGACACCCTGTACACTAGTACAGCCGCAGAAATAAAATTATGAGCCTAAAAATTGCCTAATTCGAAGTTTACCCGGGTAAATTGCGAAATACCTAGGAAACGTGGGTATAGGTAACTGCAATTGGACATGTTCCGCGCTTTACCCGGGTAAACATTTACATTTGTTGGTCATGCATTTAGCTTAACAATTGCAATGTTTTTAACCTCGACCTCCTAAAAATGATTGTTCATTGGCAAGTTGTCGTAATGTTTATCTTTTCCTGGTGAAACATTTTCCAGATCTACAAGTTTCTCATTACACACAAAAAATTGATTCCTGGAAACATTCCCTCGATCAACGTCAAGAACTTTCACTCGGACTGTATCTCCAACGCCGGAACATGGAGTGAATTTTAAATTAGATAAGGTTTTCACCTTCTTTGCTTGATTTTCTAAATTTCTTTTTGCGTCTAGTCTGTTTGGCACAAGCAAGGTTCACACCTCATACTGGTCGATGTACATGGGTCACCACGCAGATTTGGTCTGATTTTCTAAATTTTCTATATTATTGGCGTTTTCTCTATAATTATTGTCCATATTTTCTTCTCTATTGCCTTCATCAGTAATATCTTCGTGCATGTTGTCATTTTCAGTATTATCTTCTTCTTGCGGGATATCTATTTCTGGGTCACTATCCATAGGCTGGTCTTCGTTTTGTTTTTTTGAGGCTGTTCACCCGCACCAAATTCCCTAACGACTCTCGCAAGCTCTTCTTCGGTTTGTAGATTTTCAATAGTTTCTTTTGGAAAAGCTGATGTCGATAGGCCGACTTTAATATCGTGCCCAAAAATGGCGACATATAAAGGAGCTCGTTTAATTCCATCATGGTATGCCCTGTTTTTCATTAACTGGACAAATCTCAGACCTTCTGAGCATCGTTTGCATCTTTCATCATCCATCCACTTCATAAATATATTTTGTATATCTTGATTTGCTTTTTCCACGCTGCCTTGTGACTGACTGTTGAAAAATTTTGTTAAGTAGTCTTGATACACCATGCTAAATTTGTACTCTCCATCTGCATGGGATTGCATGTCAATCAGGTTCTCTTGAAAATGGCTATTCATCTCCTAAAACACCATTGGTTTAACCACAAGTCCTTTCTTGGCAGCCTTAGTTTCTTTTGGCAACCTTCATACAACCGAAGAATTAATTTAACAATATCTTAAATTATATTCTTGTACTTTTTCTTGCATTCACTTTTCATAGGATGTTTACCACCACGTCCAATGGCCAAATGTGCATCATGCAAAATAACAAACATCTCATCGTTTGTAACGTAATACTTTATGCTAGATTCACCTGATGCTACACAAGAAATAGGCTTTTCAATATCTCGTACAGAACATGTCAAACCGCCTCAAACGTTAATAATGTAGAATGGTCTTGGTTTCAGCATTTTTTGCCAACTTGACCGATTCTAACATTTCTTGGTATTGTTCATTACTAAAATAAAAACTGTTTGCACTTTTCAAATTGAAAACTTCATTAAAACGCTGTTTAAAATGTCACATCTCCTCTCTTCGGTTGCCATTTTCGAACTGACTGCACGTGTTGAAGGAAGACGCAATAATAATTCCCGCACCCAACTTTAATCACACAAAACCGGATAGAACGCGGTTTACCCAAGTAAAGCCAGAAAGAGCCATAACGTCGGTTATATATCGTAATTCGTACTTTACCTATGTCTGAACAAATGTACTGGGAAACACATAAACCATCTTGGATTTCGGAATAGAGTCTTGACAAATACCACATTTCTTTAAAATATATTTTGACATTTTTTCACAAGATTTCTTCCCGAAAATACACCTTGACAAAAATTATTCAAAAAAGTGCTCCAGCTAACTCCTCAAGAAGCTGTGAGACCTTGACGTTGGTGGGAAGGCCCACTGTCTCTCCTTTCCTCTCGAGGAAAGGGTGCACTGATAAGGGGGGCTCAACATACCCGGAGCAAAAGCGTGGAGGAGAGGCACCGTCCTGCCTTTTGCGCACTCAATGGCACCAGTGCCAGAGAGTGGGTAGAGGGCAGGGTGTTGTTTTCCTGCGAAAACCTACCAAGTATGACTCGTGTCCTGGAGCCGGTGGATGATGAGGTTATGAGGTCTAAGGACGTGAGGGCTGGCCTTAGCTGGCCGACGAACTGCAAGGGAACATTAAAAACCCCCAGATACGGTGAAATAGCATAGGCCAATGGCTGGCTGGTTGAAGGAAAGCTTAATCACCGCACTATGCGAACTCGGGCTCTAGGGACGTGACGATCCCTTGTTTAAATAGCTCACAAAGGGCATGCGGGCTGCTGCTACTCGTGGGAATAAATATGGACTCAGTAGACTAAACAAAGGGGAAAGGTGACCCCTCAAAAATACCTCAAAACATGGAAACAGAGGAGATTCAAAGCCTCGCAGCATCAGTGGATGAAAAATCCGCACTATTAGTATCTACCGACGACGAAATCGGCAAAGATCTGTACGAAAGATCAAGGCTGAGCGGCGTCGCAAGAAAAAGGATGAAGTTCCTTATCAGCAAAGGGCTCAACGCAGATGAGGCCCGTGCCAAAGCACTTGTGCCACTACCGACTAGGGAAAAGTGGGAGAAAGCCAAAAAAAGGTAGAACTCTCTGAAAAGGATCTAAAAGGGTCCGTTTTTTTTTTTAAATCCTCATTTTAACTCAACACAATTTACAATATTAGTTCAGAGGAGAACACGCCTCAAACGCAAGTGAGGAAAAAGGCCAAGCAAACGGGAATGGGCAGCAGTGCCCTGCCTCAAGCGAAAGCATCCAGCATCCAACCTTCCGCCAAAAAGCTGGCGGCATAAAGGTATAGGGATTCTACTTTCAAATATCCCAGAACTTCTTCTTTCAGTGGAGCAGTTATAAATGCCACAAAGGAGGCAGTCATGGATAGAATAGTGGATGCGGTAACTTCTGCCAAAACCACGGTGAGGCCGAAATTCCTAAGCGTCATCAATAGTCCCGGCTAGCAAGCAATACTCTGCGAAAATATAGCCACAAGGCAATGGCTGCAGAGCATAGTTAGCCAACTCACACCCTGGAAAAAAGCATCATTAAAGATGGTACAGGAATCTGAAAATCCTCATTCAGATGTTATGATAGCGAGATTTTTATGGAGTCAGGACTACTCGACAGAGAAACTCCTCAAACCTGTTGAAAGTCAAAATGAAGGCCTAAACGTGACGAAATGGAGGATCATCAAGCGTAGGGATGCTGGTCATTTAGTTACTTAACTCTCTCTGTAGACAGTGGGTCTGCAGAGAAACTTGAAATCAGGCAGCTACATAATTAGCTTCAAGTTTTGGCACACTACAGTGAAATCCACAAGTGGCGGAATACAGAAGCAAGCAACAAGAAACGCAACCTGGTTTATCCAAAGATACAGACTCTTCGATACTGGGTGCCCAAAACCAAAGGCTTGACAAACCTGAAAATGGAAAGGAAGCCAAGGAAAAAAATCCTCCCGGGGTCGTATAAATGGCTAACATATAGCCAAAAACCACTAACTTCAAGAGTGACACTCCACTTGTGAAGTGCATCCGAAAAATAAACCTATAACACGCAAAAGCTGCCACCAGCGAGCTTAGAAGCAGAATATTTGGACAGGGAATAAATATAGAGCTACTCCAAGAACCCTGGACAAGTGAAGGAAAGATCATGGGCCTCAACATCAAATCATGTAAGGTAATCTAATGAAGACAGCAGCCAGTAAAACAGAAGAAAGAAGAATTACAAACTCCAAAGCTCAGAAAATGGAACTTCTATAAAAAAAACTCTCAGCATAAGCTTAGATGAACTCTCAAACACCATTGAGACAGAGGAGGAACTAAAGAGGCAGCAGGCTGCCTCACACAGTCTAATCAATTCCATGTGAAGTGCTTGCAAGAGAACGCCAATTATGGAAAAACGCAAATCTATCGCAAGCGAACAACGCATCATTGTCGTACACAGATGGTGCGAAGCTAACGGAAGGAGTCGGTCTGAGAATAACTGGACCAAACTTTAAACTCTCCTTAACTGAGGTTCTGGCCATAAACATTTGTGCCCAAGAGAAGCTTAAAAAAGGCCTTTCAATAGGGCACATTTACACACTGTCCGACAGTCAAGCGCCAAGGCTCTAGCCATCTAGTGTAATTCTCAGCTATTTTGGGAGGGTAGAATATCCTTTTAAGCACTGGCTGGGACTGCTGGGAGGAATAAAGTTAAATAACGCTGATGTAGGTATCAGAACACCATTGCATAGACGGCAACGAGGAGGCCGACCGTCTCGCAAACAGTGATGGGTATATTAGGAAATTTCTCCCTAGATTTAGGGAAATTTTCAGTAATTAGGGAAAAAGCCAGATTCGGATATTTTTTAATTTATATTCCTGTATTATTTGAGCGCAAAATGGAAAATAATTTAGAATTTGTTATACATATTATACTTTTTATTCATGAAAAATAACAATATCATAATGAAAATACACCGTTTATGCCGTCTAGTACAATGTGTTAAGGGCTCCATACACTACGATGAAACACGACAGTTTTCATCGTCGCGATGAAACACGTCGTTCCAAAACCGAAGTGTGTGGTGTTTGGTAGAAAAACACGATGGTTTTCTACAGGGCCCCATACACTACGATGAAATGCGACGGTTTTTTTCGCCGCGATGAAACACGTCATTCCAAAACCCAAATGTGTGGTAGAAAACCGTCGTGTTTTTCAACCAGTGAGCCCTTTTTAGAGAGAAAAGAAAAACAATCTCTATTGCAGGTTGCTTTCATAGATCGAATATCTCTCTCTAACGCGTACAAATAGAGAAAGATACGAAACAAATATTTTGTACTGAACACAATGCCGTCCAATTGTTGTTCTCAGGTTTTACATTCATTTACTCGTACTTGTTGACAGTTTTGAATGGTTTCAGGTTCGAATGCAGGATTCCCCCATACTAGAAATCGAATGTATTCTAAAACTAGGGATTTTTATACCAATTTAGGGTATTTTTGGCGATTGTATGGGGAATTTCAACTACATCGATCTACCAGCACTGACGATATACCAAAAAGACTAAAAAGAAAATATAAGTGGTAATGCTGTACGGTTAAGGGGGCGGTACCAAAAGAAAGTCGGAATTTCGACTGTCGGGGTAAATCAATGACATCAAAACACAGATAGACGGATCATCCCATTCATAAACTATTATTTGTTGTGTTGACAAGACCACCCATGGGCCAGGGGAGGTGAGTTGCTCGCGGGGTCGGGGTAGGGAGACATCATTGCTCAAAATGGTGTAAAAAACCCCGCCCACACGTGAATATATCTCGAAATTTAATTGGATGAATAAATAAAATAACAAATTGACAAATAAACTGAAAATATTCGATACGAGCCCTTTATTCTGGGAGTACCAATATCGTGTTAGTCGTTTCTTGTTTAACGCTAATGAATAATCCCTGTTTGCAATAAAGATAGCTAGCTACTACAATCAACACCTGCCTGCCATTCAACAAGCCGCTTCTGGGCGGTGTTTTGCTATAATCTGCTGTTGCCAAATTGAGTTCAGAAATAAAATTGAAAATGTTAATTAGAGGAGAAAAATATATTATTTAGGGATTCAAGACAAAATTTGGCATTCTCAGTGGTGGGGATAGCACAAAGACCCAAAAGAGACAGAGAGATGTTGTCATACGAAAATTTTGTTTATTGTTCGGTCTATCTGTGTTTTGATGTCATCGGGGTAAATACTGTCGGGCCAACTATACGTTTCGAACAAAAACGGTTCGGGACATACACCGGACTTTGGTGACATGTCAGGATTTCTACGCTCGGGTCAAATACTGTTGACACTAGGAAGTGACTTTTTCTGCTAAAGTGAAATGTACCTATTTCATTTGGGTCTCAAAAATTGGCAAAATCTCATTCTATTTTTAATAATATTAGGTAATTTAAGAAATGAGGCAATGCCCAAACAAGAAAATGTCATAAAGTTGTGCTGGTCAACAGTATTATCTAGGTTCATATATACATACCTACCTATTAATATTTATGATAGATTTGATTGGCTAGGTAATATTTGTGTGAAACCCAAAAATGTGACAGCGCGTGAAAAACACATAAGTTTCTTTAATAACTTGGAAATCTTATTGACTGACAATTAAATTTTTGGGTACAATTTTTAGGGATTCAGTCAAAAATCTTCAGGCAATCAAGAAATTTTTTTTGTGCTATTTGGCCGAATAGCTGAACTGAATCCCTAAAAATTGTACCCATAAGTTTATTTAGGAATAGGTAGCAAATTTTTAATACAGCGAACCACTGACTATTTTCCATTTTTGGTTTTGATAAAGTTCGATACTAAGAAGGTATAATAAAATTGGGCCTTCGCAAAAATACAATCAAACCAGTTGGGATACACCCACGAAGAAGGGCATCCTGTATACGATAATCGTTATGCACCGAAGAAGTCAAGTTGTGTGTCATTGCCATTGAACTTGGTACTTTAACTGGTTTTGTTGATTTTTATTTATTTGTTTTATGTTGTGGTATTAACAATAATTTTGGTTTTTTACTTCGCTAAGTTATTCCAAGTTAATACTTGAATTGTGTTATTTTTCTGTTTATTTAAATTAATTTTAAGGAAAGTGTTGAGCATGCGGTTTTGGTGGTATTACATTGGTATGATTTACCTTTTTGGTAAGTTTTATTTTCAATTATTACAATATAGATTAGCATTTATTTATGTATGTAAAAGTAGGCATGCAGGAGCTTCTTTCCTTTACTGAAATTTGCCGATGACATTTTTGAAATTTATACGAAAGTTTTTTGCTGGGACATTTCGCAAGCGGAATGAATTCCACAAGATCATTTAAGTTTTGAATTGATGTCCCGAGTAAAGTTGACTGAAATTCTTATGATTTGTGGTCAGGTTGACCCGATTATGGTTTCAGTGAACATCTATAGAAAGTCGAGTAATTTTCATATGTAATGTTTTTTCTGCTATTGACAAGAGAATGTGTCACTTTTCCACCTAAATACACAATATACTATTTGATATTCTATTCTTTATATTGCAGGCTCCATATCATCGGAGAAAACAGAACAATCACTATGCTCCGAAAACTTCTCATGCATCCCCCTACGCGACTGCCGATCACAACATCACACCATTTATTTTCCGTGCCACAGTGGCCTCAATTTGTACTGCTGCCCCAACGAACAAGTATTGCAACCGGAAATAGTAAGCCTTATTTCCGAAAGGAGCAATTTTTTTCCAGTAGAATGCGGTGTTATTAGTATAGACGACAAAATCACAGGTAAGTTTATATTTGATAATTATTACAAATATCATACATACAACAAAATTGAAGAAGGTCGTTTGCAATTCTAACCCAAACAACATAAAATTAAAAATTTATAATAATTTAATTTGCTAGTTTTATAACAGAAGCACGGTTGTTAGAAGTTTCTTCACTTGAGAGATGTACTTGGTGTACTTGGTTCGGAAGATGTCATGGTGATTGACAAAGATTCCGTGCAACATCTGTAGAACCTACAATTAGATGCAAGAGATAATTCCAAGAAAAAGTGAACTTCCTCGGACATTTCGAATCGCACTTTGTATACCAGAATGTCAACGGTTTTTCGTGAAGTTGGAAAAAAGATTGACCAGTGCTTCAGTTTTAGCATATTCCATGGATGAAGGAATAATTTTGTATAGACACCGACGCTTTGTGGAATAGGAGTTGTTCTCTCCCAAATTTGAAACACCGAAGAAGTGTTAATCAGATAATTGAGTAAATCCCTTGGAAAAGCAGAGAGAAACTATGGCTTCTAAATGGAGTTGACTATTCTGCCTTACAGTGGCTCATCAACTTCTTGAAAGTCGAATATCGCGTTGGATGGAGAAATTACAAATCAAACACAAACATCGCAAAGGAAGAAGTTATGTTAACGCTGATTGCTGATTGGAAAAAACTGATGAGATTACTGCGAATAAGGAAAAGACTCCACTTCATCCACAATCCGGCGGAATGGTCAAGAGGCACAACCGGACCATTCGGACCATACATTACCATCTCTCTCCTATGTTTTTTTGATGATCACCATCTTGTTAACATCCACTATAACCCTATAGATTAGGGGTTTCATGTTTCATATTCGTGTATGAGTGCTAATCCTCCTGCTAATTATTATAATGGTCTCATCAAGCTTGTTTGCAAATTTTTTTCCAAGGTTGCATGTAAGAGCGCAGCTTACTGTTTCGTCAGTTACGGGGGAACTCCTCCTTTTGTCCGTATTGGTATAATTAAATTTTCAGGTTTTTTTAGTTTATTACCTAATGTATAATGTATGGTATTGCTTATAACCGACAAATTAATTGTATCTATTTATTGTTACAGGAGGACAAGATGCAAGTTTGGGACAATTTCCCTGGATGACTTTGCTTGGATATACACGTTAGTATTAAGCCTATAATTAGACCATGATCCAATTTCATATTTCTTGTAAGTAGGATAATTTTTGATTTAATTTATCATATTGATTGTTTTGAGAAGCGTGAATTTCCTGAACAATTTATGAATATAAGTGAAAATATCGTAATATTTATTATAAAAAGCTGTTTGCAGCCTTCAAGGATTTATAGCATAATAAAAGTTAGGAATTACAAATAAATGTAAATGTTTCAGTAGAACTCACCCACGTGAGCCGTCGATAAAAGACTAATGAGTAATTAAATTTAAATTAACATCTCTGGTAAATTTTTGGTTTGAGATGGCTGGTTCAACCATTTTAGGGGTCTAACTCCATTGTTCCTCTACCACATCTTTCTCAATACTATAAAATGTTTTGCTGACTCAAATTTACACTTTCAGAGAAATCAGTATCCATTACAGAATTCTTATGCGGAGGCACCTTGATAACGGACAAATACGTATTGACCGCAGCCCATTGTATCGTAGTTAGTCCATCTCACACACTGTAAGTTTTCATACTTTTTTTTATCAATCAAATAATTAAGCCTTACCTACTCTTATGGTTTAGAGATCATCCCAACTAGTAAATTTATTTTACCCAAAGATCAATGTTTACACTACTCTATTATTTTGTTTTAGAGTTACAGTTCGAATGGGTGAACACAATCTAAGAACCGAAAAAGATTGTTATACATTGAAAGAAGTAACAATATGTGCAGATCCCCATTTGGATAAAAAGGTTTTGTCGCATGCTATCCATCCAAGTTATAATTCTCGTACATTGAAAAATGACATTGCTTTAGTGAAAACTAGAGAGTCTATAAAATTTACTGGTAAATACAAAGAATAAAGGTCATTTCGATTGGTTCTAGAACAATTTGGAAAGGCCAATCAAAATCGCTTGAAACGGTGGATACATCTTGGAACGAGTGCATTATTTTTTTTTATTATTGAGTTTCTAAAAACATTGCACTTGCATCCATTATGAATAACAAAACTTATATAAATGATTACATTTTAGAGTATATTCAGCCCATTTGCTTACCGTTTGAAAGAAGTTTGGAAAAAAGAACTTTGGTTGGTCAAAAATTTACGATAAGTGGTTGGGGTAAAACTGATGCCAGTAAGTTGATAGAAGCTTGCGAAACCTTCCCTGCTTGATTCTCAATAAGTAGGTATTATAGTATACAGAATGACATGTTTTAGGAAAACTTGGTGGGTCATCGGTATTGCAATTTGCTTCAGTGACCGTGTGGAATTCTAAGTTATGCAATGATGTAATGCCACCAGAAGTGAAAAATATATCGGATACGCAGATATGTGCCAATGGTAAGGGCTAAGGATTATCATTTAATAGTTGACTAATTGTTACCAATTTTGGTTTATAGGTAGAAAGATGGACGCATGCAAAGGCGACAGTGGTGGACCAATGTTCAATACAACCCTGGACATCGACGCCAACCTCAGAACATTTCAAATAGGAATCGTATCATTTGCTACCACTCTAACTTGCGGATTATCTGAATTACCTCCAATTTACACGCGTGTGGACCAGTATTTAGACTGGATAGTGCAAACTGTTGTAGGGAAGAAAAATGATGATGTTGTAATTCATTTTGAAAATAAATAGACCTAAGTTGTGATAAAATTGAATTCAGCTTGATATTTTTATCTGGATAGTTGAATAAATACACCAATATTAAACTTGGATGAACAATTTCTTATCGCTATAATATGATAGATGTACACAATGGGACACTTAACTTTACAATAGGACCAAGAGTAAGATTTGGTATTCGGAAAGTCATAAAAGATTATAATTGATTTTTTAGTGAAATTATAAAGTACTTACCTACCTGAATTTTGAAAAGACTTTCAAACATAACGTACTAGCCTCTTGTTCACGATACTTCTGCGAAATAATTGTTGATAGGTATTTGGAAAACCCGCCGGAAAATTTCAGAAAGATTGTTGTTCATTCCATTTTGGCACTATCATATTAAAACCACGTCATTAATGTTCACAATTTACCCTCACAGTGCGGCCTCTAAAGTTTTCGAAGAAGTTAAAGGAACAATTGAGTATCAAAATTGCTGATTACCGTTGGTGGTTTGAATTGGTCGCGTACGAGGCGATTCACTACATAGCCATGTTGCTGTTACCTTCGTTGCTGATTCACGCGTACTGTCTCTATTTTCTTGCTCAGGTTTCAGCTATATCTTCTCGAATGTTCCACGGCCAAATATAAGAAGCTATTTCGCATTTGAATTCTCTCTGGACCGTCCGTATTTCGCCATTCACTTCTCGTATGTACTTCAATATGAAACAATCCGGCGATCCTGAATATCTTTCTGCCATTTTTTCAATTGTCTTTTCTTTTTTTAAAATTAGTCTTCTACACAGGTTTCCTAGCTGGAATGAGGCTGGCCAGATCGTCAGAACATCTCCCATGATAAAAGCGATAGAATAACGACAACTCGGCCAAATTACTTGCAATTGCGTTATCATCTTTATTGCTATCCAAGGTATCATCATTGCAAGTGTGTGTGTTCTCGACCCACTTCCCTTCCCTACTAAATGTGTGCTAGTTTTTTGATTTTGAACGAAAATTAAGTTTTGTGTGTTAGTGTTAAAAAAGTTTGAAATATTATTATGTAATTCTTTGATAAGAGTATTTAATCCGGATCGATTTAGGAATAGGCTGTTTTTTTGGAAGCCATTTTTTTAAATACCTACAAGTGTTTGTTAAGAAAAGTTTGATATTATTATTCCTATGGACAATATTCAATATCATATCGTATATTTCGTTTTTATTCGTGAGATTTAATGGTGATGAATACTCGCTGTGCACTGGAGATGTACAAAAAACCAAGTTAGCAAAAAACATTTTTTTGTTAACTCAGGACCAACTTTTTTGTAAAATTTTTGATTTCTAGCCCTACTAATAGGACAACAAAGTCAGTATTTGAAAATATAACTGTCCAAACCTTCAAGTAATAGATCAAAGCTAGAGTTTGGCTTGCACACTACCTGAATTGCGCACTCATCTCCCAGGTGATGCTGGAGATATTCGTACACGAATCTTCTGTATCCATCTGTTATATATAGTAATTTGCTTTTTGGTTTTGTGTTATGGGCTTCCGCTAATAATTTGTTGTGCGTTTTTTTATCTGTTTTGAATAACTTACCGTCGTTTCGAGTTTCTTTCTTAGCATTATTTGGCGCAATATTTGTTTCGATGGTATTTGCCCTTAGGTATATTATATTTTATGTTCCCTTCATTCTGCTTTGCCATGTTCCTCGATTTCTCTTGTCTTGTCTTATTGTTTTCTGTTGTAAACTTCTTCGCATGCTCCACTTTCAAGTTCCATAGTTCTTCCTCACATCTTTTATTCTCTTCTTCAAGAATTCGAATTGTTTCTACCATTTTCCGACTCTTAGGACAATAATTGGTCGAATGCTGTCGGGACCGCAATATTTTTCAGTGTCAAGTTGCAGAAGAATTTTCCTAGTAGTTTTAGGTCTAAATACAATGTTGTCCATGAAAGAACTAATGTGTGGCAGCACCTGTGGCGCTCTGCCATTGTCCCCATCGTGGAATTGGATGGAAATTATTTGGCAAAGAGACCTCCCTTTTTCTTTGACGATGCTGTAATGGAATTATTGTCCTTAACTTAAGGTGGAAAGGAAGAAGACATGAAATTTTTTCCGATGGTTTCGGCAAAGAACCTCGCTAAGGACCAAAAGGATCTTGATCCGCTCGGTCAGTCCAAAAGCCGATTACGTACTTGTTGGTTGTGTAACTCCTTAGCCTCGTTGGTTATACGGTTGCAATCATTTCTGGCAGCTGTGAAGGATAATCGAGTTTGTTGGCATTGGTTTCTATGCCAGGCACGATTTGCGATGTTCTTTTTTGCAATCGCTCAGACACACTGCTTGTTAAACCAGGGTTTTTCGGCACAGGATGTTTTATTGGAGTGTGGAAAACACAGGATGTTTTATTGGAGTGTGGAATGTACAATTCCACACCAAATTATTTCAGTAACCTCTTATGCAGTTTCGGAATCTTTGGATTCAAAGCAAACATCGGACCACGTAAAGGTCGAGAAAAATAGTTTTAGGCTTTCTCAGTCCGCCGCTCTATAATGCCCCAACCTACGGGGTGTTGGAGCACGGACTGAGGGTATAACAAACAAACTTCGAGCGGAAAACAACTTGTGGTTTGATTTGCCCAAAGGTGAAAATACATCGATTTTGTAAGGATAGGATAATGATAGGAGTCTCCCGGCTAGAATCAAATGAATTTGCCATATTCTGAAATAGCAGTTTACAACTGTGAAGTCGTTGGATGGAATTTACACACAGCAAACCAACTTAACCATGTTCGTAGAAGTAATTAATTTTTACTTTTTAGCCAAATTACTTCGTGATAACTTGCAGATCAGCCTTCCTGTGGCTCAATGCGAGAAAAGACGCAAAGTGCCGCCTTATATATACAATTTGCCAAAAATAGGCTCGTCATTCTCTCCTGCGTTAGGACGCCCAGGTGCTGAATATTGGAGCGTCCGAATGCAGTAGATTCTGTCACGAAAAATTTCTCCATTATAAGGGCAATATCTACTATAAAAATCAAACTCAAGTGTTGTTTCCTATAAATATATTATTTCATTGTAATAAAAAAAACAAACCTAGTGAGATTTTGCATTAGGTGTATTCTTATTTACGTTAGCCGATAAGTTCCTCTTCTTTTTTGGTATATTTTTAGATTTATCAGTACCTGACTGAATCCTCTTCTCCCCAGATGTCAATCCAGGTCGAATTTTACGTCTGAACTGGGATGTCGGCTGTACTCCAATTTGCCGTTCACGGTTGTGACAATCTTTTTTTCCAGATTTGCTTTTGACAAAGATATGACTGCACTTGTGTAGCAGTTGTCAATTGGCTAGGTGTAAGATTAATTTTATGCATTACTTTGGTCAAGTAGCTATTTGGATTATCAAGTGAAATTCGAACAAAATTCGATTTTAAAAAAGTCGCTTCACGTATAAGCAGGGGATCAGTCGGTCTTTCAGTAAATCCTATTCTTTGGGTTTCAACGGATTTTTCTTCTTCGATATTCATTGGTATATTTGTACTTCGATATTTGGAGTGAAATTGTCACTGATGCTGTTTGATTTAATTGTTGGCGGTACATGGTATATGCATATCCATGTAGAAATTCTCAGATGCTTCATTCCCCATTGCCAATTTAGCCAAGAAAATTTTATCTTCGGAGCGTAGTAAAAGCCAAGTGTTGAGCACCAGTAAAAAACGCTATGCATCGAATATAAGTGTTTGCAGAAATGACCACCTTGGCCAAATGGACAATCGCATGATGCTATATCTACATATGCGGCGTAAAAAAGATGTTTATCTTCTGCCGAAGAAATTTTCTGAGTGTTTGAGTCACGACGCAAGACGCAACATCGACACTTGGACGCCAAAAAACAGGAGATATTGCTCCTCATAATGGGGAAATTTCTGGTGACAAAATCTACTGCTAACTGCTTTCAGACGCTTCAATATTTAGCAGGTGATATCTTAACGCAGGAGATAATGACGAGCCTTTTGACCTATAAGTAGGTACCTATCCTGTATTTTAATTTCGGAATCCTTTGCATAAAGGATGTCCATCATCATTTGTAATCTAAGTCAGTGACGATAAAGAATGGAGAGGAAGGGAAAAAATAACGGAGAGAAAAGGGTAGAGTGTTGAGAATCGAAAGTCCACGCTTCAGCTCGAGACAATTCGAATCGAATTCAAAGGACCAGAATTGAAGTGAGGGATGGCACTGCCTCGGTTGAAGAAAATCTCTTCTCCCACTCCAAGTGATGAAAGAGGATAAAACAGGATGGTCAGGTTCAGAAGGATGAGCGGATAGGAAAGGTAGGAGAAGAAGAGGAAGCAGACTCAAGATTATAAAAAGAAAAGAGCTGGGGTAATTCGGGGTCGCTTGAAATTCCAGAATCTAAGGTTGTTTGATCAGAATCGGCCAATAAAAACCGTGCTGTCCACCTGCAAACGACTGATAACGAGTCTGGCGGTTCTCGTTTAAGTTCGCCTTAGATTTGAATAGACTTTAGATGTTTTTCTTCTGCTTCCTGGTTTTCTTTCAGTTGTCTGATAGTTTAGGAGGCAGTGAAATTTTTTAAGCACTTATTTCCCCAGTTGGTATCTATGACGCCTATTTGCCCAGACATAAATATTTCACATTTATTACAATAGAACATAAAGTATATGAAAATAGCAATTTGGCTTATCTCAGATAGTGAAAATGAGTCTGGCTGAAAATTTTCGGATCTTCAATTTTTCACTTGCCAGGCATATTTTTCATACTCACTGATTAGCCGGAATATTTTTTTTTACGTAACTTCAGTATACTTCTCATTATTAGACCTATTTTTATCACTGAGAAACAGAAGGGCCGTGCATTCGTAAGCTTTAATGCATTTTGCGCCTCAAATATACCTATGTATTTTGCTTAGAATTACTAACCCTACAATTCTATCCAAGTTGTCTGACTGGGAAAATAAATACCGAAAATCGTCACTGCCTCCTAGACTATGACTTCTCTCCTTTTTTCTTCTTTTTTCCGCAAGTGTCATTAGAGCCAAGATCTGGTTCATTTTGATCTTGATCTCATATTTCGGCGCTGGTTCATTG